GCTTCTGAGAGCGAATGGCCTTGTGACAAATGAAGAGCAGGGGGCGGGGTCAAAAATATATTAGTGGTGAATCACGATTCGCTCAACGGGAAAGGGGGGCTTACATTTTACGAAAACTGTAGTATGCTGTATTATATAAGCGAAAAAGTATTAATAATAATAATAATAATAATAATAATAATAATAATAATAATAATAATAATAATAATAATAATACCGTTTATTTTCAAAGCAAAAAAAATACAAAGAGAAAAAATTAAAATTAAAATTTAACAAAAAAAAACATTTAAGATATAAAAAGGAAAAGAACAATATAAAGTAAACACTACAATTCATCTAATAGAAATTTTCTGTAACTTCTTTTAAAGAACCTTGGGGTTCTGGGGATCCTTAGAAACCGCCGTTAAGGACGTATACTTTATCTGAAGTCACTTGAAACACTGTGAAATACCGGGTGCGTTTTATATATCTATATTTAACACGCTCTGTATAAGATCAAAGGCAGTTTCACCGGTCCACGTGGAGTAAAGCACACCTATGCGTGGACATAGCCAATGAGAAAGCGTGTATTTCAGAGCTCCGAACAAGTGCAGGTGGCTACTGAAAATTGAAACAGTTTAGCCAGTGACGTGTAGCGGTGAATAAACGTGTTTTCTTTAGTCTGTCCGTGTTTTTTCATAGATTTTATTAGTTTGTGTGTTTTTGACTTTTGAATACTCAGTTTACTTGTTGATTTAGTTGTTGTGTTGATTGTTCTTGTGTGTCCTAAATATGGCTCTTTGGAGACCTTGGGAAAATGCTCCAAGCCACGAAGAGATGGTTGATGAACCTGTGCAGGCAGAATTCTTTCATAAAGATTTAGAGGAACAGACCCAAAGATTAATCCTAAATATGTATGATTGTCTGAAAAACGAAAATCCAGATTCCTCGCAAAATCAAATTTTAAACAGAATTTGTATCCTGACAAAAATCAGTCGGTCTACCATTTATCGGGTTACAAAAAGGGGAGATGGAGTCAACCATTCCTTCCACAGAAAGCGCATAGGGCAAAAATTAAAAAGAATAGACGTGGGTTTTCAGGAAGATATTCGTCGTATAATATATGGATTTTATGAAGAAAATTTGATGCCCACGTTGGAAATGATACGGGATAAATTAAAAGATTATCTTGACGATTTTTATAATTACAAATGCTTAGACTCACTGCATTGTATTGTAAAACTGTGTGGTTTTCAATACAAAAAATTAGATAAAAGAATGGTGATTATGGAGTCGTCTCGAATCGTTGAATTGCGCCAAGAATTTTTGCACAAAGTTAAAATCTATAGAGAGCACAAAAGAAATCTGATTTACCTGGATGAAACGTGGTATGATACCCATGATGTTGTGCAGTACGGCTGGGTTGACGACAGCAACAAGTGCATTTTAAATGCACCATGCAACCGTGGAAAACGAATCATTATTCTCCATGCTGGCAGTGAAAATGGATTTATACCTAATGCCTTGCTGTTATCTGCCAAAAATATCAAAGAATCATGTGCCGACTATCATGAGGACATGACCTCCGACTTATTTGAAAAGTGGATAGGGCAGCAGTTAATACCAAACATTTCCCCAAATTCAGTGATTATTATGGACAATGCGCCATACCATTCCCGACAGAAAAACAAAATTCCGAATACAGGCACAAAAAAACAAGACATCATTGATTTTATGAAGGATAAGGGAATGGAAATACCACAAAAATCAACCAAAGCCATATTATTGGATCTTATTAAAAGACAAAAATTTGAAAAAGAGTATGTTGTTGACAATCTGCTTCAGCAAAATGGCCATGAAGTATTACGTCTACCACCCTATTACTGCATTTTTAACCCGATTGAGTTGGTCTGGGCTGCTTTAAAAAAAAAAAAAGTAAGAAAACATAATCAGACCCCTCAATTAAGTGGATCGCTATTGGCCACAATAAGAGATGCAGTATCTCATATTGCTGCCACAGACCTATGGAAGCAGTGTTCTAGGCATATTATTGAAAAAGAAAATGAATATTGTGTTTTGCCTCCTGTAAATCCCGTTGTAATTCCTCTACAAGATGACTCTAGAGACAGCTCCGAAGGCGAGGATGATATATAAATACCTATAATGTAAGTCTTTATATACCTTTTTATATACCTACCTACTATGTAAATATTTGCCTATGTCAAACGTTGGAATTCTGTAATTTTTCCATTTCTTAACTTTCAGTCAACATAAATTAAACTCCCAATATAAGTATTTTTTATCCCAAATCAAAAAAATAAGAAGATAGTAAAATCCATTTATTGTGATATAAAAACATTATTATTATCGTTCTAAATAAATGACCGCACGCCTATGATACGTCATGAAATTACAAAGGACGCGCCGACCAAAGGTTCTTATGCTATTTCAAGTGACTTCAGATCAAGTACACAAAAATGGGCCATCAAACTTGCACAAACCTCTTACATTTTCTGGACTCCAAGACTACCGAATTGCAACGAAATAATATGTACTATAGAAGAAGAGCATCACTCCGTCGTTAAAACGTTTTTGGCCAAGTATCTAAAATGCTATTGTGCATATAGCTGGTAGTAAGGAGGAAGGTAACCATCCAGGTAATGAAGATCACCCGCAGTTAGTGGACGGCAGAACACTGTCAGAAGTGTTTCACCTGTCGCAAAACAAGTAGGAAGTACCTATGGTTCTGATATACTTTGATGATCCGGTAATGATGTAAAGGCGAGTATTGTTATCGTTTGGAATTTAATATATGGTCACCTAAGTTTTAACACCACGTAACTCAAAAAAATAAGCTATGCAATTACCTCAAAAATGCCACCGTGATTGCCGAAACGTCGTCAGTAGACATTTCAAGCATATGAGGTTTCATTCGGTAGCGGATCCAAAGACCCGACGGTATATTCTATTTCTCCTAAAGACGTATTAGTTTTGAGTTAGGCAGTGTAAGAACTCAAGCGACATGTTCTATTTATTGAATAGTTGTGGTGTAGGTGAAATTATCAGAGAATATCCATTCAACATTTTTGTATGCATCATGAATAGGCAGTACCAAAAAGAAGACAATACGACACAAATATGATATACAGGGTTTGTCCGGAAAGTAATAGGACTCATTTTCTTCCGCCATGACTGTACTTCGGAGCATGCGCGCACCGACTGGATTCGATAGAGGGCGTTCCTAGCTAACGAATGAGCGGCTGGTCAGTTGTCTCCGACCACTTGGAGAGTCAGGACAGGCATTTTCGCGCGACGTGTTTCTGTGAGTGGTGCAAGCCGAAAATGCAGCGTCCGTTAGAGCAGAGGTACGCGATTAAATTCTGTGTGTAACTCGGTAAATCTGCGACAGAGACATTTGATATGACCAAGCAGGCTTACCCAGGTGTTGCTTTAGACAAACACCGATAATGTGACTCGTGTGCGCGAAGTTTTGAACTCAGACCGTCGACTAAGTATTCGTTTAATTGCCCAGATGTTAAATTTACCAAAATCTGTGGTTCATGACATTGTGACACAGCATTTGACCATGGGCAAGGTGTGCGCGAAGATGGTCCCAAAAGTGCTCACCGACGACCAGAAATTGCGGCAAGTGGAAGTGTACCAAGAAAATTGTGACCCCCAATTTTTGAATATCGTAATCACAGGTGACGAGTCGTGGATCTTTGAGTATGATCCCGAGACAAAGAGGCAATCTTCCGAGTGGCACACGACGGCGTCTCCTCGCCCAAAAAGGGGAAGAATGAGCAAATCCAAAGTGAAAACGACGCGCATTGTCTTTTTTGACATCAAAGGCATCGTCCACCATGAATTTGTTCCTCCTGGACAAACCGTCAACTCCAAGTTTTACGTGGAAGTGCTCAGGAGACTCAAACGAAGCGTCAGTCGGGTCCTACAAGACAAGTTGCACCACGACAACGCCCCGGCTCACATCGCCTTTCATGTGAACAGCTACTTGACCAAGGCCGGCATCCCAACGCTTCCGCAGCCGCCCTACAGCCCAGATGTGGCCCCCCGGACTTTTTTTTGTTTCCTCGCCTGAAAAGGCCGATGAAAGGCAAGCATTTTGGGACGACAGAGGGGATCCAAGCAGCATGCACCGCGGCTGTCAAGGCTATTCCGGAAAATGCCTTCCGTGACGCCTTCAATGCTTGGAAATCGCGCTGGCAGCGCTGCATCGACGCAGAAGGAGCCTATTTTGAAAGTTTTTAAAGAATTGTAACGATTGGCTCAATAAATTTTTTTAAATCGACTCAGTCTTATTACTTTCCGGACAAACCCTGTATAGTTTTACAGACAACGTCAATGAACAATAGCAAAAATTTCCAAAGTATTTTAAGTTTGAGATTTTATGGTGTTCCATGATATGCCCAAAAACAATGGATTCCTTGTTCCAACATCGGTTGTAGATTGTTTCAGTTTGTTGCGAAAAAAATAAGTGTTCCTTCTTTGAGAGCAAAATGGAGCCTAAGTGCTATGATCTTAGCTAATTTACCTCCCACTTAGTTAATCATAACCAAACTAGGGGAAGGTGGTACAAAATGATCCCATTAAGGGAAAACGGCTGAGAAACGACTGTATCCAGCTTTTGATAAAAGTTAAAATATTTAAAGCGTAGCTATGCAATCGAACTACAAATTTAGTAACCTTTGAATCGCGTAAGCCATTAGGAATAATTTTTATTAATTTTTCCGTGAAGCTCTACCAAAGGATCATTTTGTACACCCCTGTGTCCAAAATGATCCCCGAGATGCGGGTAAAATGATCCGGGGGATCATTTTACCCCACTATACAAAATTCATGTAAGAACTAAAAGAATCAATAATACTTTTACAAGTTTTATTGCAGATTCAGTATCAAAATGAATTAATAAAACACATATTTATAAAAAGAAACTTTTATTTAGAGGCCAGTAGAAACGAAAAGGAATCTTGAAATATACATTAGAACATTAATATGTACATGGATATATGTTCATATCATAAGAATGTATATAATATCAACTTTTACAGTCTTAATTGTTTCCGAGCAGAAGTGAAACGATCATCGGCATCGACACAAAAATCACATGTGAACTCGTCAGCGTCATCGGGATCAACGCCAGCGCAAGCTTCGTGGCCCCATCTTAAGCAAGCACAACATTTGATCCATCCTTCACCTCTATTATTATTGGAAAACCTCTCATTACAAAACAAACACTCAGCATCACTTTCGTCCTCTGAAGATGACTCACTTTTGCCTCTTTTAGGTTTTAGACGTTTGTATTTTTCGGTCACATTTTCTTTTGCTTTTCTTTTTCCTTTTTCCTCATTTGATTTAGAATTTCCCTTGATTGAGTTCTTTTTATTTTCGTTGCGTTTATTTTTTTTGCGTTCTTTTTCATTTTTTTTATTAACTTCCTCTTCTAAGTAATTTTTATAAGGCGAACTTGTAAGGATTGCTGTACATACTCGAGCTTTGATATTTTTTCTACGTTCTTCTGCCATTTTAGGGAAAGGTCGAATCTGGCATGGAGGGATGCTAAAAGATGTGGACGCAACTGGTGATGCAAATGAATCTTTATCCGAAGTGTCATAAGACGCCGATTGAGCAGCAGCTGCAAGAGATGGTGTATTCGTAGTTATGGATGAGGTAGAAGGCGAAACATTATCGTAGACGGAAGATACTTCAACTGATGTCCACGGTAATGGAATGGCGGCTGAACTTCTCAAGCTGTTAGAAATACTTTCGTTGGAAGCCAGAATAGTAGTAGGTGCTTCAGCTACACGGTATTCGTTATTCTCTCCTTGCTTGTGGGCTGCACATGTCGATAAGGTACAAGGTGACACAGCAGTAAGGTTGGATGGTTCATCAACTAGTACACATGTCGTAGAATCGGCTGGAAGTACAGGAGCCCTGGGTATAAGTTGTCGCGGTTTATGGTCACCAAAAACTTGAATTTCATCAGGCGCTATATTTATTGATGGATGGGGCACCAATATTTCGTTACTTACTGCTTGATCAGTTGTGGTGGCAGCAACGAAGTCTACATCAGTAAAAACATCAGGATTGAGCGGCCATATTCCACACTTTTCAAATCCTTTGATAATATTTGAGGGTGCAGCAGCTTTCAAATATGCTTCTCCAAAGATTTTACCTATTTGAAAAACTGTTACTACACGACCCGCATTATTATTCATCCACCTTTCTAAAGCCTGGTTGTGATACACGCTCAGTGGAAACATTACACCAACATCGAGTGGTTGAAGTTTGTGCGTGCAGTGTGGGGGTAAGCACAAAATTGTTACGTTATTTTCTCTGGCTTTTATTATGACGTCCAAATTTCTGGTATGAGAAAGATGGCCGTCCAGTATTAGAAGTACGGGATCTTCTGTAGATGGTTTAGTATGGGACAAGAAATGGTCAAACCACTGAGAGAAAACCTCAATATTCATCCAGCCGGAGGGATTGCACGCGTACACAGAGCCTGGTGGAGTACCGTCCATTAATTCTATTTTCATTCGCAATCGGCGAAATATTAGCATTGGTGGTATGAAGTTTCCTCCAGCTGATCCGCAAATAACCGCTGTAGTTGATTCACCTCTTTCGGCAGACGTGATTCTCGCTACTTGTTTGCGCCCTTGTTTGGCAAAGATTTTACTATTTTTGGTCGGAACGGTGTTCAAACTAGTCTCATCAACGTTAAAAATGCGATGAGGAGGAAATACATGCTTTTCCTGAGCTTTTTGTAAATTTTTGTAAAATTTGTCAATAATCGGTTTATTGAATGCTCGAGCTCGTGCCGCTGACGTTTACTCCGGGGCACGTAGAGTGATATCAGGATGTCTTTGTCGAAACCCCCTTAGCCAGTCTTTACCAGCTTTACGGGACGTAGTAGAAAATGGATGCCTTATTTTGTTTCTTTCAGCTATCTCAAAAGCAAATTTACGAACGTCATCAACTGTAAAACCGTACATAGTCTCTTCATTGTCTTTAATATGTTGCACTAGCTCCAGCTCCTGTTCATCCGTGAATACTTTCTTGATACTTCCCAACATTTTGGTGCCCCCCACAGCGTAAACGTTCTTTCCTTTAACTCTTCTTTTAAGTGCCATAAGTGGGACTAAAAATTGTTTGGAGGCGGCTTTATATGGCATACCCTGTTTTACGGCTTCTATGGCTTTAATCATAGCTTGTTCATCCCAGTTCTGACGTGTTGTTTTCCGGATGTAATTTCGCGGCATGATTTCTGAAAGTAAAACGGCATTAATGGCTACCGCATATTTTAAGCAATAAAATAAAGATAAATTGAATAGTATCACAAGGTTATATATTGTTAAAACTTATGACTATTGCATTATTGAAGTCGTTTTTTTATATGCATACTAGTTACTATTGGGTGATAATATAAAAAAAAAACATATCTATTGGAAGTAGGTAGACGGGGTAAAATGATCCTAGGAATCATTTTGCCCACCCCGTATAGGGATCGTTTTGCCCCAAATGCGTCATTAACGAAAACATCAGAACATAACCTTTGTTTCTCGAATATTGTAATGAATGATGGTTAATTCTATAGTTAATTAGTACCAGAAACTGATACAAACACACCAACCACATAATATATACATAGAGTAAAGCACCATAATGTCAAATGATGGCTTACCTTAGATTGAGAGCACTGATTTTAAATATTTCGTGATAAAATCTTCACCATTGCCTGTGACGCCACGATACCGACTGAGATTGTACAGCTTAACCATAGGAGCGTGTAGCTTATTAAAAGCATCCTAGATGACGCTATAAACTCAGTAAAATAGCCGGGGATCGTTTTACCTTCAGGGATCATTTTGTACCACTTTCCCCTAATTTTTTGTTTGAAAATAATACCACATAACTTTGACGGGACTCAGAGTGCCTGACATGCGCAAATTGCACAAGGTATTGTTTTTTATTGGTAGGAGATTTGTTGGAGCCAGGTAACTATTTTTATAAAATTTTGCGTCTACGACTTTTTCATAGTATATATACAGAAATGTCAGATTCTTATAGTTCAAGTCAGAATCTGATTGGACCTCAAATATGGTTCCCAGTGGTGATGAAAACATTCTGCACATACTGCTTCATGATCGAAAAAAATAAGCATTACACAAAACGGTACCTCTTTACAATAAACGGGAATACATGGAAGATTTCAGAGTGGATCACAAAGTGACTGGAGAAAAATGCGTTCTAGCAGACTCAAATTTTAAACCGTTTGACGCTAGTCTTTTAACCACGGATGCGTGTGGAAGGAGTTCACAATCGGGTGTCAACCAAGTGTCAACCCATGCGATGCTTGAACATTACTAGGTATCTTCCTACCGAGTAGGTACAATGAATTAAAGCCGTAATGCTATCCGTACGCTATGCTATTACGTGATTTCGATTCGATACATAGCTAATGATACGAAAACAAATGTGAGTCATCGATGAATTCCTTACTAATTATTATTCCACCAAGTCAACGGAGGAAAGTCTAGCAACTGAGGAGGGGAAGAGTCGCACACTACGTACACACTTCTTGAATCACAGGCGAATTAGTCTGGTCGATAATTTCGATTCATAGGATATTTCCGAGAAAAATGTGAGTCATTTGGAATCGCGGACATGGATGAAATCATCCGAGTAATGTTGGGCTTCCTACGCAGACGCCAGGCAGGAAATGGTGCATATAGTTTTTACGAATACTTGGAATTAAGAAAAAACAGCTTCTAAGATAAAGCCATCTACAAAAAAAGTAGCACCATATTCCCTTTGATTTTTACTTCCCCCTACTGGCGGGCAAGTATTGTAAAAATTTATATTACTTTGTGTGTGAAAGTGTAACAGCATCCAAGACTTTTTTAAAGGTCGATGGAGAGCATATTTTTTTCTCATGGAGCCAAATCCTAAAGAGCCCTTAACATGGAAAATATGCAAATTTCAATTGTATGAGTCTGTTTGACTAACTTGATTCATTTAGTTTTTTTTTGTTGTATATGTTCGTAGCTAACTCTCTCTCTAATGAGCCAACTTGTGCTGCTCATAAGCCTTCATGAACTGATGGCAGCGTTGCTTAGGAAGTGCAGAGTCAACCTACTTGACGCCATTTTTCTACATGTTGCAATAATTGGTATGTACATTATGAAAAATCAAATGTTAAGTTAATTTTGAAACAATGTTACTACGAGTAAATTCAAAAATAACCTAAACTTCGTCCTTCGAGTTACTGATCATTTTTTTTTAATATTTCAACCAATTCCACATCAACATTTCATACTGGTTGCTTGAATTTGTTTATATACTTTCGTTTTATATACAGTAAATCTTTAAGAATTACAACAATTTCAAAAGATGCAGAAAATGTCCTCTTTAAAGAATAAAGTCTAATACAAGTTCACAAAGTGTATTCTTAAAATAACTAAAAAAAGTTTGCCATACTTAATCTAACCCTCAGAAGTACTTAACAGCGTCTTGCCAACCTTGTGGCTCTAAAAATAAAAATCCGCCTTGACCTGCATTAAATCTATTTGTGTTGTATCTTGTTTAGCGGAAGTGTAAGGTTGTAGGATACGTAAACGCAGTATTGCAAATCGGACAGCCATCCAAATACCTGAAGTAATCAAAAAATTGTATCAAGTAGACTGACTCAGTACTGTCACATATTGAAAAAATTCTAATCGTAATCAGCGATATTATATGGAATATGAAAAGTTCGCGTATTTAAATGTTTTGAACCGCTTGCCGTAAAGGAATTTCACAGTTGAAAAACTGGAAAACACTATGGGAACATTTGAAATTTTCGACCAGTACAAGTTAATCTTGAACTGTGCCCAGCAAGTTTTTTTTTTGTTTTTTGTTTTTTGTCCGAAACTCCGCTGCCACTGGATCAACTATCAAAACCTACAAACCTTTTTCGTCCTTGGCAAAGTCGTAACATTGGGTCAAAATTTCATCAAAATCCGAGTGGTACTTTCTAAGTTATAGAGAAGCCAAGAATTAGCGGACAGGCAGGCACAAACAGACAGACCAACGGAAGTGAGTGACGTAGTTTTTCGTGATGTACATGCCATATAACATCCATTTTCAATACATAATATTTCGAGTTTAAAATGTTTCGCGATTACAATACTTCAAGATCAATGATAAAGTCGTAGCTATTTTGGTATGACGTATTGGGAGTGGACCTATAATATATTATGCTATCATTATAACGCATCTATAGATGTTACGTAGTTCATTCTTATAGGACTTCTAGATCTAAATATTTCCTTGTATGACAAGAGATACCTTGGCCTCGCACAATGCCAAGTAATTACTTCCTGTGTAGCTTGCCAAGTCAGATAATAAAGGGCTAAATTTATGTGTATTTAATCCCCCCATGCTATTTCTCAATTTGGGGTGATTCAGGCATTACGTGTATCTCTCACGGCACTTATTGAAGCCCTACCCCAACTGAAATACAATAATGCAGGGATGATTCATCCGAACAAAGTAGACTAGTAAACAGGTACATTTTCTTCCTTTCTTTTATTAAATTGTGTGGGTGTGCCAATTTTACTGCTCATGCATAGGAGGTAAAAAGGTCCAAGTCTACGGTAAAGCATGTTAAGTTCTTAATATTTTTGGAGCAAATTAGCCAATGTGCCCATTTTTGAATTTGAGAGGTCTGTATCTCTTTGCAGTCACACGGGGGACAGCAAGGTTAGGTCAGAATCACAAAAGTATGCAAAAAAATAGTACAGAAGTTTTCTATGGATACGAGTCCAACAGGTCCTAAAATAAGCCGTTACCGACATACAGGGGTGTTGGAATTATAATCTCGAAATCGCCACTAGGAAAATATCAACTCAAAAATTTGTGTGTAAAACGAATAGCATGACCAATAAAAATTTTCATAATCCAAATTACACAAATGGCTCAGAATCTTTGATATTTTCACATACATATATAGGGTGTTTCCTATTCGATGATAATATTTAACCGGGCGAGTTTTAGGTCCATTTTAAGAAGAAAACGAATTTCCTAAACGTCTTAACTTTTGAGATGCAGGGTGGTAAAGTTTTCATATGAAGTTTTCTGCTTAAAATAGACAGTAAAATCGCTGTCGTAAATATTGACATTCAGTAAAGAAATACCCTGTACCTACATATAAGGGGAAAGATCTTTACTATTGACTTTTTCATATGTCTATGTTACATTTTTAAATAACATATTACACGTTAAGCACACGAAATTGTCTAGAGAAGTTTTCGTCAGTCTATTCTTTTTGGATAAAAACTATGGAATATTTGAGAAATAATCCGTATGAATACATATTTATTTATATCCATTCCATTTTGAAAACACTTCAGCGTTTGGGAATATTCATTCAGGGTGATTCAGAAAACAGTAGAATATTTATACGGCATAAATTAGATTAGAAAATAACTTGAAAAATTCATACAAACCTAAACATGGACCTTAAGATGTCCCCTCACCGACATATTGGAAGGTTGAAGTTACACATAATTAAATTGAACAAAAATATATTTGGGTGGGATCGGGATATTGTCTTAATATATACATAGCACTAACAGCATACACGACACATAAAAAAATTAATTTGAATACTGAACAAAAATATATTTGGGGAGGATCGGGATATTGTCTTAATATATGTATACATAGCAGTCATAGCACTAACAGCATACGCAACACATAAAAAAATTAATGTCTGTGCCTGAGACTACACTAGAGGCATAGAAATTTTGAAATTATAATCGCTACCAGGGGCGGATCTAAAAATAATTTTGGGGAGTCCATATGATGGATTTGAAAATAGCCGCTCAAAAAAGTGCTGGGGGGAGGCCCAGAATTCTTATTCGGTACGGGAGGGGGAGGTGATCTAGGCACAAACTGAAAAACACGTTAGATTTTTTAAAGCTCGGATACCTATTTCGAGCGGTGGAGGCCCAAGCCCCCCGCAGATGCACCCCCTAGATCCGCCCCTGATCCTACACAGAAGTAAAATGAAAATAATTTTTCTACGCTGATTTAATTGGAAGATCTATAGCATTTTTGTATAAAGAATGATCATTTTCAAAAACATCGCCCATCTTGAGATGTATTCATCAGACTATTTTTGAATATTTGAGGCAAACTCCGTAGGAATAAAAAATCAATCTGTTCTACCTTGAAAATACACTGGGTTTGGTAAAGTTTGACTTTGAAAATTGCATGTAGCGTATGATGAAAGTAGGTAATCCTATCTCACCACAGTCCTATTTGAACAATAATCATGTTTAGTCCTTATTTAGTCTCATCAGTTTCGTAAAAACGTTTGGGTTACTTTTTGACGAAACATTTAGGTATGTAGTTTGTTAGTATGCAATTTTCGCGATTTATCTCAGAATCCTTGAATATTCCGTATTTGTATATGGCATACCTCGTTTAGAAAATTATTAATTTAATGTGTGGGAAGTACCTGGGTATCAATCTCGGTATTTTTTGTCCATTTTCTGAACTCAACTTCAGAATTTTCTAAAAAGTGAAATATCAAAACATCCAATCCAGTGCAACCTTGTTTCTAGAAAAGGGATACAGGTAGATAAGGTGGAAAATACAAAGACAAGTGTGTAGCGGAAGCGACGAGTATAGAATATTGATGTTGACCTCCGTTGAACCCTGAACTTGAGATTCCATCAATTTGAGCAATTGGCCAGCTATGCCTTTTATCATAGATCAATAAAGGTAATCGAGCGAATAAAATAACAGATTCCCCCAACTGTGAAGTTACCTGTCATCCTTTCTTCGTTCCAACGGAATCTTATGGGACAGAAGATCTCAAGGTCAAGTGAAGATGAATCGGCGTCGCCGGCCGGTGAAATCAACGGTGGCTGTGGACGTCCGTTGATGCCCGTTTCAAGTTAGGTTAGGCCAAAACCGCCGTTAAACTCGACCAATCAGCGTCCGCCGTTTCCTTTATGCCCATATATGGTAACGTTTGTCAACGCGATCGGTGGGGCGGACGAGTCCAAGAACGCTTATCCAAGGGGAGGTCACCGACACCAGCAGCTTGTTTTCTTTTGTTTACAGACAATCGACCCTTTCTGACAAATAAATAACATTTTGGAAACGTCACAATCGCTTGAAATATAATTTTGAAGCATTGGCCTTTCAAATTGCAGCAGAAAAAATTTGAAAAATCTACCTTCTTCACCTGCCGATTTCGGACAACCGTACTTCCTTGAATTCGCAACCGGCTTCTTTCCCATTCGATTGTTGTACGCTCTTGTGACGTGTCTTGTGTAAACGGTAAGAACTATTTTTACAAACTATTACTATTCTTTACGCTTTCTAAATGCCTTATTGCCAAAATATATAGTATGTAAATCCTTATATTGCTTTAAAATTCAGAAAAAACGCATCCCCGAAGGTTTTTATTCCTATTTTATGTCCATTGCCTACGCTAAGGTAGATTTTTAGTTCCTCTGTTTTGATCTCACAGCAAGTGGTTGTAGTAGTAGAAAATAGAAATACCGTAGGCGAAGCTCACGCTCAAAATACTGCGGCATGTTATTTATAAATATAAAAGTCTCCGCGTTGAGATTCGATTGAGGAATGTACAACTTAGCCAGAGCAGGATCGTTTAAAAACCGATACCAAAATAGGAGAAAAAAACCGAGACGTATGAGCCTGGCATTTATGCCAAGTTTGAAATTTATCCTTTTCTGTAAACGAGAATCACATCAAATTGGTGAATTTAAATTTAAAATACGTAATTGTGTCAGCTTTATTTTTTAGTGGGGATCGGAAAATCGATGCAATGCACTGCCATATATGGTAATGTTAGTTGCTATTGGTTCGATCTAGCCGCGATACTGCGCTCTCGAGTCTTGTGCGCAGGGAGGGGCAAATAATTATATATATGGTGAAGAACTTTTGAAATCAGACATTCCGGTCTTGTGATATTTTAGTGTCAGTACAGCAGGATAGTGGAGCTGTGCTAAAGTTAATTTATATATTTATACTTTTATAACAAACCAAAGTAAGTTTCCTCAATCAAGTGACTTGTGTGCGATCGGGTGTGGCAATTGTTTTCTCGTGTTTTGTTTGTGATGAATTCCATGGACTGTTTGATGTGTAGTTAGAAAAAACACGTGAATGGGTGGGGCATTCCTAAATCAAATTGGAAGTCCATTCTTCGGCGGTTGGCTCATGAAATATGTAGAAGTTACCGGTTTTGTAACGGACAAATCTTTGTTCCATTCACAAAGCCTTATTTGGTCCGAGTTCAACTGTAAGATACGGTATTCTTGAGGTTTCTCTGTGATAGATAAAGCAGTGTATGATTGACAGTGAAGTTAAAAAGTTCTCCTGAAAAAAAGTGAACTTGTAAATTTGTACAATACAATCGTAAGCAGTTTTTATTGTACATGTTTTGTAGAAAATTGAGATGAAATTTTTTTTCACAAATAGCGTACACTCAAGGATATCTAATATTGATAGTTTTTTTTTATTTTTTTATAGTTTGCATTTTGGGTGTCGTTAAAAACTGCTATTCATAGAAAAAAGAAAACCACAGATTCATAGCTAATGCTAATCTTGAAATGATGATTTTTTGAAATTCTGCTTTTACTCCATACAGAAAACACAATTACATGAGCCAACACTGAATTCTACACAAATCACTCTTGGATATTTTAATTTTTTGCGAAATTTTATTGAAATCAGTGTACAGTTAGCGCAAAAATAATTGCGCGATGTTCTTCCTTTGTTAGGCAAAATTGAATCAATGTGGCAATCATGCAATGAATGATTTCTTGTGAAGACGTCCTCCGCGAATCAATATCAATCCTACTTTTGGGCGCTGAAGGAAAAAATGTATGTGCATTGTATCACTCTCAAAATATTGCCACTCTTCGAGTCATGCACGGAAACGTTATTTCAAGGCAGTAACATAACATTTGTGCTCTTATCAATTTTTCACCAATCAAATACAATAATTATATTTTTGTTGCAGTACTAACAAACAGTCAACATGTGTGACGAAGAAGTTGCCGCGCTCGTAGTAGACAATGGATCCGGTATGTGCAAAGCTGGCTTTGCTGGTGATGATGCACCTAGGGCAGTATTCCCATCCATCGTGGGCCGTCCAAGGCATCAAGGTGTGATGGTAGGAATGGGACAGAAAGACTCATATGTAGGAGATGAGGCACAGAGCAAAAGAGGTATGTATTCAAAGTAATAAAAGAAAAACTTGGAACATTTAAGATGATGAAGGGACATTATGTCTCATACAAATCATCTATTGACTCATCATTAACTTGGACATCAATATAAATTATGTAAGGAAATTTCTATTCCTATTCCATTAAAAAGAAAGTTTATCTATACGGTTTACAGTTTGAATCGGCTAAGCAGTAAATGCTTCATCTTTAATGCAGTTTAGTCTTGATAGAAAAATGGCAAGATGCATTCATTCGTTACACAATGTAATATTTCATAACTTTTTGTCCATTCACCATTATAAGCTACAGAATCACTTCAGGAAAACAAAAAATGATCAAGAAGCATGTAGAAATTACATAAAAACATCTAGAAATGATATTATCAAACTTTTAATTTTAAGTTTCTGTATGACGCATACTTTTTCAAAAAAATGATCACTTTCTATGATCTCATGTCATGTTGCTCTCAAAATTGCTAATCAACATACTTTGCCCAAACATATGCAGTATTGGATGTTGCAATGTAGTTGCAGTGATTTCCTTAAGAGCATTAAAAACTTCTTCCAAGGAAAGATCACTTCTAAGATTCTGTAATCTCAAAGACCTAAAAGGAAATTCCTTAACCTGTGGCAATAGTCAGACAGGTGGCAACATTAGCATCTAAAGACATGCCAGTGTTTGTGCCTTACAATTGTTACATACTAATCATTGATACTTCCTTAAATAATTAGAAATTTGAAAAATGAAACATTGAAAGTTCTGTCTATCTTGAAGCAGGTATTATTACCTGTCATGGGCTTACAGCATAATTCTAAATTTTGTCAAAAACTTCATGGATTTTGAATTGACTGCTTTTGGATTGCTTGTAAATGTATCAAACTTCTTCCAGGTATCCTCACTTTAAAATACCCCATCGAGCATGGTATTGTCACAAACTGGGATGACATGGAGAAGATCTGGCATCACACCTTCTACAATGAACTGAGAGTAGCCCCAGAAGAGCACCCCGTACTGTTGACTGAAGCTCCACTGAACCCAAAAGCCAACAGGGAAAAGATGACACAGATCATGTTTGAGACCTTCAACACACCCGCCATGTATGTTGCCATCCAGGCTGTACTGTCCCTGTATGCTTCTGGTCGTACCACTGGTATCGTGCTTGACTCTGGTGATGGTGTCTCGCACACGGTACCCATCTACGAAGGATACGCCCTTCCCCACGCCATCTTGCGTCTGGATTTGGCCGGTCGTGACCTCACAGATTACCTCATGAAGATCCTCACCGAGAGGGGCTACTCATTCACCACCACTGCTGAGAGGGAAATTGTTAGGGATATCAAAGAGAAGCTGTGCTACGTAGCGTTGGACTTTGAACAGGAAATGGCCACCGCTGCCAGCTCCAGCTCATTGGAAAAGAGCTATGAACTTCCCGATGGACAGGTAACTAACACTGGCCTTTTCGTATGCTGCTTTAGAATCTGTTTCTTTGCAGTTTGATAGAGAAAACTTCATACAAAGATAGATCAATAAATTTTTACACAGCAAAATGTTTTGGGACACCCTGAAGTATTTGGACTCAGTTTTTAATAAAACTAGCCATGAAAGGTTTTTTTGGGACTGGAAGTAAATTAACAACAAAAAATTTTTCACTTGTATATTTCAGAAAATATGATTCATTGTTTTTTTATGTAGATACTTCTTTGCTCATTGAATCATGAATTTTGCAATTCAAGTAATTTAGTAATGTACAGTCTGCTAAAACTAAAAGTTTGTCATTTTTGACCTAAGAGACAAGGTTAAAAAATGCTTTAAAATTCAAAATAAAAATACTGTTTTTTTTTTTTTACTTTTATTTAGAGATAGATTTAAATAATTATAATTTTTGACAGTTTTTAAGAATCATATATACGCATCTTTTGGGGCTTTTCAGACATTAAATCACTAAGTCCACATTAGCCAGCTTTAGAGAAAAGTTAATGGTAGCCTTTTTTGTCAAAATGATCCAAATTACAAATCTTAATGGTTTTAATCTCAGTTACACATAAATATGCTCCGACATTACAATAGAAAAATAATTAAGTTGAAGCAAATAGAACCATTTTTGTCCAAAATTGACACATTATCATTTACTTAACTTTGCATTTTCACACGAGCACACATAGTTGCCATATTTTCTACTTCAAACAAAAATCCACTGCATCACAGTAAAAACATAATTTGAAGTAAATGCACAACTATGAGAGTTCAACATTTTGTTTTTATTGTGAGTGCATTACCACACTTTCATTTCTATAGGTTTTGTCTCATTATAGATTCAAAAAGTAGCAACTTTTGAGAGAATGCACTCATATGGTTTAATATTTAAAAATGGATGAATTTTGAACGAAATTGCCAAAATTATGAACGTTGAGCTTTTAAATAACATCACTAATCTAAAAAGAAAACTGGTGTCCAATTCATCACTTGTTCATTCCCTATCCTTGAACATGTCATGCTAGAGTAGTTTTATCAGTCCCATTGTTCTATTCAATATACTTAAATACAATGTAAAAAATGTGATCTCAAGAGTTGCTTGTTCAAGTATATAAGGTAACGTTCTTTGACCCTTTCTATTTCTTTGGCTTCAATTAATTCTTTTCCAAATAATATACTTTGTGTTTATACACTTGCTCTCTCCATGTATAAAGAAAAAATTTCAGATTTCTGAAGCAGTGATTCTAATTCATTTCTAAGAACTAGTTCAATAAGTCGAGTTCACTGAAACGTGTCAGTTCGCAAACGAACTATTTCACGAAAAGTTTAAAAAACAATGTAGATTTGTAGTCCATCCAAGTATCATTTTAATTTCTTCATTAGCCTCATCGGGTGATATATAAAAGTTGGCTATTTTCATTTTGCTTGCAGCCTTTGTAATTAACAGCATTTGTTTTCTTTTTTAATAACTTCATTTTGTCCTTTTTGATATCGTAGAACTAAACCATGATCATGTCCAGGCAACCAGTTATACAAGATTCTGCTTACTTGGTTGCCTGTGGTGGTGACCCATCTCGTTTTCGCTCATCAACTTACAGCTGCGTCGATTGGATCATTGGGGTGTTGTAATATCAGTCGTTCGTGGCGAATTTTTCGAGAAATGATCAACTAGTTCATTCATAACAGAATCTCTTGAACTAGTTTGTTAGCTAACTACACATCACTATTCTGAGTGCCAATAACTGACCCATACTAATTTTCTTCCAGGTCATCACCATTGGAAATGAAAGGTTCCGTTGCCCAGAAGCGCTGTTCCAGCCTTCATTCTTGGGTATGGAAGCGTGCGGCATCCACGAAACCACTTACAACTCGATCATGAAGTGCGACGTGGACATCCGTAAGGACCTGTACGCCAACACTGTCCTCTCTGGAGGCACCACCATGTACCCAGGCATCGCCGACAGGATGCAGAAGGAAATCACAGCATTGGCCCCATCCACAATGAAGATCAAGATCATCGCACCCCCAGAAAGGAAATACTCCGTATGGATCGGTGGATCCATCCTCGCTTCCCTGTCCACCTTCCAGCAAATGTGGATCTCCAAACAGGAATACGACGAGTCCGGTCCGTCAATCGTGCACAGGAAGTGCTTCTAATTTCATATTCGTTGTACACTTCATGTCATTCCGTTTTTCATTGATATACATTTCGTACTACGACTGACCTCTTGGTATGAGGTCGGTCAGAACTGCCGTGTTTTATGGGAGATTCAATAAGTTTGAGTGACCATAAAATTTTGTTTATGTTTGCACTCTAGCCAAAGTATTATTACTTAATTTTGTAATAATTTATTACATGTGCAGAATAAGACTCTTATTATTATTATATTATTATTAGGCTAATACATATGGGATAATAAAAAAATTGTAAAACTTTCCTGTATCGTAATTTATTTTACCTTTGTATAAAAATAAATAGAAAGCTTTTAAATATTGGTTTCAATTACTGTTTGGTCGCCATCCTTCAGGAAAGTAGCAATGTGTAAATATTCTTCACGAAGTTTTCTTCAAAATGAACGTAAATATTGGGTAAACAACATTCCACTTAGAAAAATTTGGGTGATTAAAGTTTAAGTGCTGTAAGGCCAAGGAGTTAACATACCTGGTATGTATAAACTGCTTCAAGGTATTCCATAGAAGTTGCGTGGAAAGGATAGACGTCATCATCATTGAAAAACAAAATATTGCGCAGCAAAGACAGAAGACAGCTATGAAGCTGATATAGCAAAGTTGCTCAAGGAGGAAATCACCAAATTAAAAGCTGCAATTGAGCAAAAAGATGAATGTATTAATAGACAGAAGAAGAAATCACAAGATATAGAGGAAGATGCATTTGAATGGAAAAATCAATACTGTAAGGAAATTGAAGACAAAGATCAATACAACAAATTGAGTCAGAACTAAGATCGGAACATACTAAAAGGAGGGAAGAAATGGAAAACTATAGACATGACCTCTCGAGTACAGTGCTGTTCAGACGAGGGTTGCCCGACTGATTGATGGCTCTTCTCTAACAGTCTCGGGACTCTAACAGTGTAAAAATTCGTACATTCAGGGCTGGTCGATACGACCGCTCCTTTGTCCCTAGGGTATCGAAATTGTGTAGCAATGTACCTCACGAGGCTTTTCTCAGTTTTACTAACCTTAGATAATTTAAAAATCGGATTCACAGTTTGTTTAAGCTCCTTATTCAGCCGCGATGCTCTGGTATTTAGGCTTCTGCCTACACGCGGCTACTTCGGTATAAAAACCCATTTGTTCTCGACGGCTATAAACGATCGAAACTAATATATACATAATTTAGGGCTCTGGTTTCGAATTTGATCGATCAAAAATTCTGAAATATTTTGTCTTGAAAAAAAAATGCGTCAAATTTACATCAAATTTGGGATCATAGGAAGTATTCAGTATTGAAAAATAGATATGTTTTTTGGATGTTATGTGACATAAACCATTGACTCCCATTTGTGTCGGACTGTCCCAGGAGAGGATCTACAAAACCTTTTGGACAAGGGTCCATCGGATGAATTTGAAATTTTTTAGGGGGGGCTCAGGATTGATGTTTAAGAAGACGCCCGTCTCGGGGGGAGGGCGAATCTGCAAGTCAATACGGAAAAGCGGGGGTGGATCGGCGATTGCAATTTTTTTAACTTGAATATTTCGGGGGTATCTGGACCCCCTGGATCCGCCACGGATCTGACCGATAATCCTTGGCCAATCTACGGTGAAGTTCAAATTTGGCTGACGTCATAATGTATACGAGAGAGAAGCCAATATGTAAGAAAGAGTGCATCCGTGGCCTCGTCTTTCGGGTTGCTAGGCAACGAGGTGCATTTATCTCTTCTCTCTCGTACACATTACGGCGTCAGTGGTATTTGGTTTTCAATGTATAACCCAAAAAGTACCGCCGATTGGGATAAGATTTTAACACAACCCAAGGATGACAAAGCTTTGTAGTTTTTCAGATTCGGCCCAGTACCGATCGAGGTACGGGGCAAAACGCGAACAAATAAAAATCGCTCCTCCTATGTTTTTTGACGTTTCAGGGGTTGCTTATCATTTTCAGAAAAAAATGTGCGGCGAGTTAACAATTGAGGCATGTGGGGGCGATACATCACAATTTTTTGAGGTTGGTAGATTTGGGATGATGAGAGTGATACGTCTCTCTGGGTACCTCTGCGTTGCGTTACGGTTTCTCAGGTGACTGTCATATATTATCTCTAAAACTGCCGAGCAGAGTCAACCTACTTGACTGCATTTTTGTTCCTCGTGAATGAAATTCTGCAGATCTGTGTAATTTGAGGAACTGAATTCAAGTAAATAAGACAGTTAAATCAGGTTTGATTGGGTCGAATTTGGGGTGGAAATTGAGCTGCTTTGAATTTTTTTTACACTGCTCGGGCAGAAAGAAGCCTAAATGCCAGGACACAGCCACTGCTATGAGCAGACTAAAAACTTTGTTAATCCTATATTTGTTCCTAGTGAATGAAAATCTGCAAATCTGTGCAATTTGAGGAGCTGAATTTATTTAAAGTAAGACAGTTAAAAACAGGTTTGATTGGGTGGAATTTGGGGTGGAAATTGAGCTGCTTTGAATTTTTTTTACACTGCGCGGGCAGAAAGAAGCCTAAATGCCAGGACACAGCCACTGCTATGAGCAGACTAAAAAATTTGTTAATCGTTTTTGTTCCTAGTGAATGAAAATCTGCATATCTGTGTAATTTGAGGAGCTGGATTCAATTAAATAAGAGAGTTAAATCAGGTTTGATTGGGTTGAATTTGGGGTGGAAATTGAGGTGCTTTGAATTTTTTTTACAACTGCGCGGGCAGAAAGAAGCCTAAATGCCAGGACACAGCCACTGATATGAGCAGACTAAAAACTTTGTTAATCCTATTTTTGTTCCTATTGAATGAAAATCTGCAAATCTGTGTAATTTGAGGAGCTGAATTTAATTAAAGTAAGACAGTTAAAAACAGGTTTGATTGGGTCGAATTTGGGGTGGAAATTGAGCGGCTATGATTTTTTTTACACCGCGCAGGCAGAAAGAAGCTTAAATGTCAGGACCCAGCCACTGCTATGAGCAGACTAAAAACTTTGTTAATCCTATTTTTGTTCCTAGTGAATGAAAATCTGCAGATCTGTGTTATTTGAGGAGCTGAATTTAATTAAATAAGATAGTTAAAAACAGGTTTGATTGGGTCGAATTTGGGGTGGAAATTGAGCTGCTATGAATTTTTTTTACACCGCGAGGGCAGAAAGAAGCCTAAATACCAGGACACAGCCACTGCTATGAGCAGACTAAAAACTTTGTTAATCCTATTTTTGTTCCTAGTGAATGAAAATCTGCAAATCTGTGTAATTTGAGGAGCTGAATTTAATTAAAGTAAGACAGTTAAAAACAGATTTGATTGGGTCGAATTTGGGGTGGAAATTGAGCTGCTTTGAATTTTTTTTACACTGCGCGGGCAGAAGGAAGCCTAAATGCCAGGACACAGCCACTGCTATGAGCAGACTAAAATCTTTGTTAATCCTATTTTTCTTCCTAGTGAATGAAAATCTGCAGATCTGTGTTATTTGAGGAGCCGAATTTAATTAAATAAGACAGTTAAAAACAGGTTTGATTGGGTCGAATTTGGGGTGGAAATTGAGCTGCTTTGAATTTTTTTTACACTGCGCGGGCAGAAAGAAGCCAAAATGCCACGACAGAGCCACTGCTATGAGCAGACTAAAAACTTTGTTAATCCTATTTTAGCTCCTAGTGAATTAAAATCAGCAGATCTGTGTTATTTGAGGAGCCGAATTTAATTAAATAAGACAGTTAAAACCAGGTTTGATTGGGTCGAATTTGGGGTGGAAATTGAGCTGCTTTGAATTTTTTTAACACCGCGCGGGCAGAAAAACGCTTAAATGTCAGGACACAGCCACTGCTATGTGCAGACGAAAAAACTTTGTTAATCCTATTTTTGAACTGCCTAACGGCTCTCGTACACATAACAGCAACGTTCGAACTTGTTGGGATATCTCGGCAGTGTGCCGGCAATTACGACAGATGAATGAGAGTCTTTAAGAATGGACATTGAAAAATGAATCGGTTGTGTTTATAATAGACCGCCGCTTTGGGACAAAAACTCAAAAAGTTACAATAATCGAGATACTGGAATACGGGCATGGGCTGAAGTTGCATTGAAAATGGATATAGCGATTGCAGAAATAAAGAAAAATGGAGCAACTTAAGAGACCAATTTCGCATAGAATTTAACAGATGTAATGAATCAGTTTTGGTGTTCGCGTAACGTAAGGTTAGTAAAACTGGGAAAAGCCTCCTCATATAGATTGTTCCACAAGCTCGATATCCTAGGTCAAAGGAGCGGTCGTATCGGCATCATGGAGAGCTCCGAGGAGCAAAGCCCAATCTTTTTGTACAAGTATGCACAATTTGCCTTTGGCACCGCACGTACAAGCATGTTTGATAAAAATAGAGGTAGTTTAATAAAATATGTCGAGCTCGGGCGACGATGCATGTGCTGTAAAGAATGATCAGTGAAAAGGAAAACCTATTCTCACATTAACCCACTAAGTGAGCTGAAAATATATCCGCGTGACTGGCGCAATTATCTTAGAATGGATGAAGAGACGTATTTAAACCTTTTGCCCCTTGTATCTCCTTTGATTCAAAAGCAGCATCAACGGACGCCAACTTGTGCAAGCTTGAAAATCTTGGGTACACACGCACCGTTTTGCTTGCACAAGCGCGCCTAAATCAAGCATGCATAATTAAAATCAATTCAATCCTCAAGCTGCTTGTACAATTACAAAGCTTGTACCTCATTTCCCTCCTGACATCCAAGCGTACTTGTACAAAAAGATTGAACATGCATGCAGGACAAGCTTGCAGTTGTATCTGTAGCCACCTTTAGAGAAGAGTCTGCTCCGACGCCAAATTGACTTGGAATTTCACGCCCGATTTCCCCAGGAAACGAAACGAAGTCGGAAAATCTTGTCTCGTTTTTCAAAGAACTGAATCCATTTGTCTGGTGGTTCTTGTTCTGAAATGATTTTGAGATTTAGACGAAAGGATAGGGCGCAAATTTCAACATTATGGTTTTAGTAGAAAAATAGCGAATCGGCACAAAGCTGCGACTATTTACCTAACGAGAGCAAGCTGTTAGTGTGTAACCACCGTTATTTTCCGCTACTCATTTATTTGCTCAGAAGCAAATGCACAGGTATTCCACGTGTGGGTTCTGTATATTCCAAATGCTGTTTGTATAGTTCTGAATGTTAGCATATGTAATTATGCGTCGTTTCTTTTTATACGTAGTATACACAAGTAAAAGTTCGTCGACTCTGGAATGAATCTTCTATGGACAGCAATTTCAGAGATAAAATAAATGTAACTCTAACTTAGTATGCTTAGGTAATACGAGGGTCTGTTTTCGAATATGTTCGTCAAAAGTGTGGCGAGGTCAAAATTGAGGTTGAAAATTAATCGCGGTGCACAGACCTCTCGTGGGCACAATCATCAAATGATTTCGGAGTTGGAATCCACATACTCGATCTACCCAGATAATAAGTTTTTCTTCAGATTTCAAATACAAAAGAGCTTTTGAAAATGCTTTCATAAGAAACCTCAGAATAATCTGAACATTGAAACCAGGGAAGAGGGTGATGTTACAGGACCGCTTATACCCTATTTCATGAGTATCCATCACGATAGAATGACAGGTGGTCATCTAGTAGCATTTCAAAATTTCTCATATCGGCAATGGACACATAATTCTGACGGATCCGTCAATGCCAGGTAGACAGAACCATATTTTGTTTTGTTTTTTGTACGCTACATATTCATTTTGTACTTGTTAAAAGCTCTGTTATTTAGAAAAATTCATTTGCATACAAAAAACAAAATGATACAAACAATTTTTTTATCCAATCCGATTCACTATAGCCAACGTAACAGACTAACACAAAAATATCACTTGCTGATCAGCTGTTCATCTCAGTAGGCATCGAAGCGTGATGGATACTCATGAAATAGTAGTAACACACTGTATATAAATGTGAAAATGAAAGAAAACACAAAGTGTCACCTGGAAGACAGATAAACAAAATATATTGTCACCCAAATAGTCAACTGTACTTGAAAAGGGCCACCAGGGTGGCTGATACGTCATCGTCAGTAAACAATATTTCAAGCATATGTCATTTCATTTAGTGGTCACACAAACATTGAGGATTATCGGCATAAAACGACAGGATAAGTTTAATTCGTTACATTAAAGAATATGAGTTACACCACATAACTTTATTTATACAATGAAATAAAATGTCTTCTGAATAACCAACTTACAGTCAAAAAGGAATATAAAACATTATCACATATAAGATTATTTTTACCTCTGAGGCAACATCAGGTTGTTATATCTGTTTATTGGACTTTGGTAAGTATGAGAAAATTTTATATGGGCACTGACCCTCTATAAAATTGTATGAAATTCATAATTATATATTTTTTATACTCTTGATCAAAAGAGTATGTATTGAACTTGATACTTTCCATTTACTAGAATTGATGATTATAAATGTTTTCAAATTCCTGTATCACTCTCAGGTAGAAAAATTACATCATCATTGACACCTCTCTATAATTTTTTCCACAATCTCACTATACCCTTTAGCAGCAGGAGAGTCAGGATATTCTGTAACACAAGCTTTGCCTAAAAGCTGTCCCACTTTAGTGTCAATGGGGAGCACCCCAAGGAATGTAACATTTGCTAGTTGTGCCAAGGACTCTCCACCACCTGTACTGAAGATGTTTGTGCATTCCGAACAATGAGGACACACAAAACTGAAAAAAAAAATTGAAAATACATTCGGTGTTCCACAGGGCAGAATTCTGGGACCACTTGTTTTCATTTTATACATTTCACCTGCCATAATTGAAAAAATACAAAATTTAAATTTTAGCCGATGATAATTTGATTTATATAAGTACTCAAAATATTCAGACTCATAAATGAAGACTTGAAACTTGTTTCAAAATAGTTATCATCTAACTAACTCAAATTAAATACTACTAAAGGGAAGACTATGTTAATTGGAAAAAAACAACAACACTAAATATTGATGGTCAAGAATTCATAGAAAATTTTTAAAATTTGGGTTTTTGTTGACTCTCAATTAAATTTTAATATTCACTGCGACAAAATTATAGGTATATCAAAAGTTTCTGGATGTCTCAATTCACATAGTAGAAAAATTATCTATAATACTATCATTTTTCCAAATTTCTGGCACTGTTCGACTATTCTACACATATAGAATAGCTAATATATTCTGGTTAATAATTTTGAAATACGCTACTAACGAGAAAGTACGCGAGTATGGCGAAAAATTTAGATGTTAGATGACATGTACATTACGAAAAACCATGCACTCATTTCTGTCTGTCTGTCCGCTACTCCTTGGCCCGTCTTTTTTAGAAGTACCACTTGGATTCTGATGGAATTTTCACTCAAGGGTACTACTATGTATTATGCCAAGGAAGAAAAAGCTTTGTATTTCTTGCAAATCGGTGCAGTGACGTCGGAAGTTCAGGTAAAAAAAAAAAAAAGCAGTGTTGGTAATTTATACATTTCAAACCCCAGTAATTCAAGGCCATACATCATCAAGGGACACTACCTTTATGAATTGATGACAGCATTGAATAGGAAGCGCAGAGTCAACCTATTTGATGCCATTTTTTGTGTCAGTGGTAAAAAATAATTTTAAAGATGCTCAATGATAAAAATTAAGGGCTAATTTTTGTTTGAATTCTTTACTGATGGAGAAATTTTCTTACCCACTCATGTTTTCTATAATTCCCAATACTGGTATACCAGTTTTTTTGCAAAAAGTTATTTCTTTCCTCACATCCTCAATTGCAACAGCTTGTGGTGTGGTCACAATAACAGCCCCATCACATTTGACTGTTTTTAAGTTTTCCATAACTGTGATATGCTCATCAGAAGTACCTGAAGTTAAAATCATACAGAAAGTTAAATACAGTGTCCTTGAACCTGAATCTTTTCTTAAAAGAACCTATGAAATGGATAGTGAGTACTTTTCTCCTATTTTAACCTTAGCTTCCTTTTTTCAAATATAGTGGTTTCTGAAAAGGAAAGTTCCTCCTCCAGGACACCCTGTATTTAATTTTAGCACCATACTATGAATTTTTTTGACTAAAGATACAAACCTGGGGGAGTATCTATAATAAGATAATCCAAGTCACCCCAAAGTACATCAGTTAAAAACTGTTTAACCATTGCAGTCTTCTTGGGGCCCCTCCATACAACAGCACTATTTCGATCATTCAATAAGAATCCTATAGACATCACAGCCAGTTTTTGATCCTCGTCTGTATATACAGGAACCCAACTATATTCAGAACCATTATATTAAGATCTTTATTCCAAATGAGAAATACTAAACATACCCACTATCTGCTTGATGTACATCTTTTCCTTCTAACTGCAAAAGGTACGGAATACTTGGGCCACATAGGTCGATGTCTAAAAGACCCACCTAAATCGTTAACACGAATTTGTAGCTTTTGATTGAATCTAAAAATGTTTATACATACCTTGAATCCTCTTTCCTTTAAAGTTAATGCTAATTGTGTACTAACTGTTGATTTGCCAACTCCTCCTTTACCTGACAATATTAATATAACATGTTTTACGTTTTCTAACATATTTTTCTATGAATTTATGTAAACACAGCTCTTATTAAAGCAACAAAACAACATCCAAAACACCGATGCGAATAAAGTGAGGTTAGTGGTCAAGAACATGAACAGGCTTTGGTAGATGTAGTCTTGACAAAACATGTAGAAGATACATGAGATACATGATAAAAGTAATTGTACACCCATCTCTACTACTACCTGCCAACTGTCAATTAGAATTGTTGAGGTTATGTCACACGTCAACATGTCAACAACAATCTTGTGGTATTTTTAAACACATCATGTGAATAGCAAAACTATTTATCCCAGGTATATTTACTAGCCAAAATTGTAATTTCGTAGTTAAGTTTATAAATTTCCAGAGACCACCTCCAGTTATGCACCTTACCACCTTAGTTCGTTCAGTGCTATATAGGGCATCTTTCCGAGCTGCAAGAAATACCATAGCAACTAGTCCAAAAAATATGCAAGAAGTACTGGACGATTTGAAGAACAACCCCTATTACGACAAATATTCCTCCAAGATAAAACAATTACAGAAAGAGAAGCCTGAACAATTCCAGAAGCGTGTTGAAGATGTTGAACAAATCAAGAAGAAAAAAATTGAGGCACCTAAGGAAAGACAATATGCACAGTTATTGAACCCTAAGGAGAAAATTAGTACACCAGAACCGATCAAACGTGAAGGTTTGGAGAAAATTATGAAAATAGATTTGATAAAAGACAAGAATACAGATGAAATAAAATCAATTTGGGAACAGTACCACTTACAAAAAGAATATTGTATTGCAGCAACTATCCCATCAAGTGATTTTGAAAAAATGCAGAAAAATAGTGCACAGTATCCAACATTTATACTTCCACTACCTAGAAGTCAAGGATATGAATTTATGATGTGCCAGTTTGCACAAAACACAGTACATTTTACCCCACTTTTATACTTTCAAGTGCACAAAGAAAATGCTCCAGAATGTCTAACAATTATACATTATGATGAATTTAAAGATGATAAAAATATTGTACTGATGAGGGGCGAATATGATAAGAATGTTTTGGATGCCAAGGAGGCTCAGTGTCTGGCAAATCAGCTACAAATGTATTATGTACAGGCAGATCCTGAGAAGATTCAACTACTTGAAACATTTACTAAGAAGCCAGATGAATTTAAGCATATGGATCTTATAAAACAGATTGAGAATTTGCCTTTGAACTGAATTATCCATTTGTTAATATGAATAAATATGTAGAAACTAATTATGTAATTTTTGTGTGTAAGGTCAGCTTTAGTGACAAAATATACTCTATGGAACAAAACATTCAAACAGAACCATAATCAAATTCAAGCGGATAACCAAATGGAAATGGTATTTACCATTTTGGGTTGGTATTTACCAATCCGTTCAAGCGAGTGTAGTTATCAGTTTGGTTATAAGATCCGTGACGTCACGAATCAGCTGTTATATGTCATAGTTATCACCGCAAAATTGTGGTATTTACCCAACTCAAGGTATTTTTATATTTCTGGTTATTATTTGAAATGTGACAAGTTAGAATTTTGCCGGGTATTGGATATTGTTATTGTACTTCAGCTTCATTTTTGAGAAAAATGATACAGGCTGACTTCAGTTTTACCATAAAGTGGAGCACCTTATTAGTTGTTGGGAACACTTTAAATGTATATGTAGTTCCTATGCTTAACAAAGTATCCTGTGTAGCCGTATACCACAAGAATATTAAAATATGGCCATATAAACTCACTAGATGATTTCCACCTGTATACGGTTTTGCTAATTTCTTTTTTCATCATTTCTGCTGAATCAATAAATGTTTTCTTTGACATGCGGAAAAATTTAGAGAGTTGAAAGTTATCATAGCTACAAAGCCATGGTTCCATCATTAAAAAAAAAACCGAAAAAACATTTCTCCCATGAATATTATGAAAGGTTTCTTATTTAAACTTTCCATATACAGTTGTAAAAGAAAAAGCACCGATTATTAAGTGATAATAAAAATAATCAGAGATTATATACGCGCTTTTCTAAAATAAACAACTTGCAACAAAACCGCGGTTAAAACCAACGCGTTCAAGCGATTCGTGTAACTGACGTCATCAACCCGTGTGTCATGTTGAACCATATTATAACCGCGGCACATAACACAGAAATTTTGGTTATTCGCTTGGATTTGATTCATGTCATTTGACAAATGACATCTAAACGAACAAGCCTAACCTCTCTTCTATCACGTCAGTCTTACTGACACCAAAACAACCTTCAAATTTCTACACATTTTGAAAAGGGAAAAAATGGTGACCGCGACCGAAACTCAAATAAAGAATATAGGAAAAGTCTTGTCAGATCCAGGCAGACCCTTGAAAGAACGATTTAGAGCCCTTTTCACCTTGCGCAACATTGGCGGTGAGTTGTCCATAAAATGCATTGAAGACTGCTTCTCGGACCCCTCAGCTCTGCTGAAGCATGAACTCGCTTACTGTTTGGGTCAAATGCAAGACAAAAAAGCTAATCCTATTCTCATAAAAATCCTTGAAGACACTACACAAGAACCTATGGTTAGGCATGAAGCAGGTGAGTCACATAGAACCTATTATCTGATTTTTTAGTATCTGTTTTAATCTTCTAGCTGAAGCATTGGGTGCAATTGGAAGTATAGAAAGCATAGAAATCTTGGAGAAGTTCAAAAATGATACTGTAGTTGAAGTAGCTGAAACCTGTCAACTTGCTTTAGAGAGAATCAGATGGTTACAAAACCCTGAATCCAAAGAACCAACACCTAGTTCATACAATTCTGTTGATCCTGCTCCCCCAACTAAACTACAAGACCCAGAGGAACTAAAATCGGTGCTAATCGATGAAAACTGCAGTTTATTTGAAAGATATAGAGCAATGTTTGCTTTACGAAATTTAAATACAAAAGAAGCAGTACAAGCTTTAGGTTCTGCATTGAAGCATGGCAGTGCTCTTTTCAGACATGAAATCGCGTTTGTCCTAGGTCAGATTCAAAGTGAAGAAGCTGTTTCATACTTAATCCAGTCATTGCAAGATGAAAAAGAAAATGAAATGGTCAGACATGAGTGTGCTGAAGCTTTAGGCGCTATAGCGACAGATGAGTGTATGGAGGTTCTCAAAAAGTATTTAAGTGATTCTAGGAGGGTTGTTAAAGAAAGTTGTGAAATAGCTTTGGATATGTGTGAATATGAGAACAGTCCCGAATTTCAGTATGCCAATGCTTTAGCTGTAGAACCAAATTGTGAATTTTTTGTATAATTGATCTTGATTATTGAATAAATTATTCAACATTAATGAAGTTTCTTTCATTCAAGGGCAGGAATATTATTCAATATCAGAATTAATTGTGTGTGTAACAGCCTCTATTATTCGGAAGGGAACCATCCAGACAATTGAGCTAATGCTAACACTAACATCAACCTTAAATTTTGCTTAAAGATTTACCTAAAAGAAAATGTAATTGTCCCATCTCTATAAAAACAGCTGATTATTTGTGTACGGTGGTACTATTCCTGCTGCAAACATGATGAATATTTGTGGCATATTTTTAGCCAACATCGCATTGGAAGTTTGGCGCTATCATATCTAAATTAGGCCTGAGTAAAGGTAACATGCCACGCAATACAACTATTACTCTACTAGACTATCCCTAGCTAATTTTTTCTCGAAATCCTTGTACAATACTTAAAAATATGCAAATGAAGATTGGAAAACTACCGCATTGACGTTCTACATGATGCCGTCGCTACCCCAGGATAGACATACGTTTTGAAAGTTGATCTTGTCACCTAGATTGCGGCGTTGCCAGCTCATCGGACAATTTTGCTACCTGTGGTATCACCAATTCCTTGGACTTTTTGTTCGAGGCCTTGCTAATGGTTTTGAGATTTTTCGGAAATGAATGAAAGTACATAAGAATACTTACAAGAACGTTAGATTAGTGCACGCTTCAGTAAATTTCTTTTTATAATAACGTATTACAGGGCGGCCAAGATAAGAATCAGACTATGTTAAACTCAGAGTAATCACACAATCTTACATCAAGCATTATGTTTGTAACGCCTACTTAAATATAATGAAAAAGTAGAGTAAAAACACTTTTGTTTATAACTAAAAAGCAAATGTAACGTGATAAATCGTTGAAATCGTAGGCAAAGCAGCTATTAGATACAGTGTAGTACTTTTTTAAAAACACCATCATGTAGTGCTTAAATAGTGACATTAGTTTTATGACATTTCTCAAAATAAAGTCAGACAAAAATAAAAACGATTTGACCAAATTTTAGTTTTTCTCAAATACCTCAATATGCAAGGCTCACGTAGTTTCCTGCACAGATATCCTGTTTCCCTCAGCCGATCTGGAAGTAGACCTAATTTCCACTTTGGAGACACTTGACACCCTCGTCACAACATCAAGACACCACTGAGAGACAATCGAGAACTCTATAGTGAACACCACTAATGAAAGCAAGTAGCTAAACCGAATAGAGCTCTGTACGGAGCTGTGAACGCGTCGATATTCCGCTGCGCCGACGGTTGCCGAGAAACTGAAGCGTGCGAGTGCTGTACCTCGCTTTGGCGATACGGTACGGCCGGGAGTACAGCCACGCCCCTTTCCAGCTTCCACTCCGCGCGTCTGCTCCCGAAGAGACTCGTTGTTTACGTTGACCGCTATCAGACGCGCGGAGTGGGAGCTGGAAAGAGGCATGGTTGTACTACCCGGCCGTACCGTATCGTCGCAGCGAGATACAGCACTCACACACTTCAGTTTCTCGACAACCGTCGGTGCAGCGGAATGTCTAGGCGTTCACAGCCTCGTGTAGAGCTGTATTCGGTTTAGCAACTTTTTTTCAGTAGTGGTGTTCACTATAGGGTACTCGATTGTATCTCAGTATTGCTTTGGTGTTGTAGTGTTGTATCACGTGTCTCCAAAGTGGAAACTAGGTCTACCTCCACCTCTTTCGAGGGAAACAGGATATCTGCGCAACAAACGAGGTGAGCCGTGCATACTCATCCAATGTTTTTTTTAATAAATTGCGCACATTGCATACAGTGAGAGATTAGTCATATACTGAGATATATCTCTCTATATCACCAAATCAATATTAGTCACAGAATCCCGAATCCAAAACGACTTATTTTCACTACATAAGCTGACTAACACTGTTTAAAAACAGTATTACAAAAATTAGCTGAGAGGCGTATTCTGCTGTCCTAGGCCATAATTACTTGTTATCAAAGGTATTGTAATTTTTGATGACAGCTGACACGTTTTGCTGTGGGAAAAAAATCCTGACATGTACTTTCATACAATTTTTCGATCTAGAAACCATTTGTAATTCAAAATTCCGCGTTTGTGATTGGTAGAAATCGAGACGAGGGAAATAGTCGTCATTAACACAAAAACTGGTGCCACGGCTTGACTTGTGTTTGAATCTTTATGGTGGCTATGTTGAAAAATGAAAAAATGATCATATTTTAGTTTGTGATACAATTTACATTCATAAATAAAATTTCTCTGATTGGATTACAAAACGGTTCTTACTTAAAACATGACTCTCGGATAAACCGTTACTTCAATGCTATTTTTTTAGGTTAATAACTGTGGCATGCTGGCGATTTTCGATTGTACAAATGAAGTCAGAATTGTGAAACGACTTGAATTTTCTTCAGCTGAACAATTAATTTTAGCAATGAAGGTTGAGGTTTTCTAGGGTTTTCCTCGCCTAAGTGCGAATACTGTCACTAAAAACCATATTCCCCTACTAAATAGTAGGTATATAATATTACATTGTTTTTTTCCAATTGTTGGAAGAAGTCCAAATACAGAAAGTATTTTATCCTATAAAACTCGACATTTATAAAAGTGATCAGAGATATTAACGTTCCGCCGCATAGACGCCAGGCGACGGAAAATGTAAATAACAGCTTTCTTTTCGTTTTTTGCAAAACTTGCTACGCGTCAAATTTGATATATCTCCATTGGTATCCCTCAATATTTTATTCAAAGCTTCTTTTTTATATAACATTCTAGCAAAATAGCAGATGTAGCAAAATTGTTCGATGAGCTGGCAACGCCGCAATCTAAATGGAAAGAATGACAAGGTCAACTGCTAAAACGTATGTCTATCCCGGGGTAACGAGGACTCATATGTCATATAGTACGTCAAAGCGCCAGTTTTCCAGTCTCATTTGCATTTTTTAAGCGCTGTGCAACGATTGCCAAAAAAATTCGCTACGGATTTTCTTCTAGAGTATATTTCAATACTTGTCTGGCGGAATGTTATCTTTACTCGGGCCATAAATTACGACTGAGATAAATAAAATCTTATTTTTATTTATGATTTCGAATAGCGTGTGAATATGATGTATTGATATTTGTTAAACATTTTCATGTTGAGTAATAACAATGTCAATTTTCTCAAAATAATGGCATATAAGGCAAGGTAACAGTTATTTATTTTATAGCAAATAAAAACAGAATTTCTTAATGAAAACATTTTTCTAGGCTCAAAGAATTTGACCAGATACTTGATCAAGATATAGTAAACATTCGGGTGTTGAAAAAACTATCTTTCCATGGTTAGTAAGGGGGTGTTTCAGCTCTTTGTTTTTGTTACAATTTCCTTCATTTTAGGAATACCTGACGACCAAGGCAAACGAGCGCTTTGTTGGAGATTACTTTTGAACTATCTACCGCCTGAAAAGGGAAAATGGGACTCGCATCTGAGGGATAAACGAAATTTGTACAAACAATTCATAAGTAAGCTTAACCTCAATGTGTACAAACATATTGCCAAATTTATGCCAATAACAGACTCACAGATAGCAGTATTTTTGAAGAACTGAGCTGATTTGGCTACAAGATATGTCCCAAAGAAGAAATTCGTCAAAGTCATTTTGGGATCAGCAGAGAATCACTGAGGTCAAGTTTTCGATGAGTATGAAATGGTCCAGTGGCGCAGCACTTTTTTGCTGAAAGCAGTAGTCATGAGATTACTTCACCTTGACAGCAGCTTTCACTTGGCTGTCAGATTTGTTAGCATGTTAAATAATGTTGCAAACTGTTAAAGCCATTTTATGGTACTACTATTTAGCATAAAAGCGCTGCACCACTGGACTGCTTTATGTTGGCTAAATGCTTCCAATGTGTCAGTGTATGCTACATTCACATTCACGCTACCTTACATTTTTTCTTAATCTCACTCTTACAAATTAAATACAGGACCTCAATGAGTCTCTGCTGATGCTGTATGTTTCAATATTACGCTGAGAACCAAATTTGCCTGACTGCTTGAGTTCAATGTGTATGAGAGAGAAGTGCGTAGAGATACATATGCTAGAAAGAGATAGAAGTCGGCTGGATAACAAAATTCATCACCACATTGCCAACAACTCTGACGCGGCAATTTGTCGCGTCGCCAATATGTTACACCAGCTCCTTGAATTAAGATGCATGTCGAAATATGCGTTAGTTTATTATCTACGTCCAAACAATGATTTTATTCAAGCATACACATTTTTGAATTATGAATTGTGTCGAATCTGTTTAGGACCTATTCTGGATTTTCCTGACGGCGCTCGATTTTAGGTTGGAATGGCAACACCGCATCTTGTACATTCCAAGGCAAGGTTTCCACCTCCATGATCATAGATGAGCGATTTTGGTGGCGTTCACGCAGGCAGTGATAATTTGTATGGTGTAATGGCATTTGTTTCATTTTCCGGCCTCTCGCTGTCGCAAAATGTAGCAATAACTCAGGATGTGGTGAACAGTAGAAATCAAAAATAGTTCTAAAATAAATTAAAGCAGTAAGTGCATCAAAATTGAAATGAATGTTTCTGGTGTAGCATAATTGACAACACTGCAGACTGCACGACATTCTGCGTCACCGTTGCTTGGCAGCCAAGTTCTATCTCTTTCTAACATGTGTGATGGACACTTCTGTCTCGTACACGTTGAACTCTAGCCATCAGACAAATTTGGTTGTCCCTGTATAGGGCGATCCAACTTAATTAGTAAATCGGGTAACCGTGTCTGATGTTTACCTTGTTTTAGCGGGCCATACACGTTAACGTTTTTCAAATAGAACTTCCGGGTTCAAAAACCAGCTGCCCTAGTGTGTGTGGTCAGCTTACTTTGGGTATAAAAGTGTGAAATTTAAAATACATTTCTAGATGAAATGATAGTAAGGCCAGGAGAAAATGAAGAAAACGGTGATGTAACTCAAGGTGACCATCCACTAAGTATAAATCCAGATAGTGAGTGGCAAACATTTTTCAAGGACAATGAAGTTCTACTTCAAATTGATAAAGATGTTAGGAGACTTTGTCCAGACATATCTTTCTTCCAACAACCAACTGAATTTCCTTGCACAGAAGTGGTTAACAGGTATAAATTTAAGCAAAAATCATGAAAATCATAAACTTCATTCTCTGTGTATGTATGACTGTCAAAAAATCGTGGAGTGTCGAATTTAAAACAAAATTATCATTTTATGGAAGCTTTGTGGTCCTAGTCCCAAATAGATTCAGATTCGGAATCTACGCTCCCGATTTATCCCGGAAATGAGTCCTTATAAAGATCACAGGTCCACAGAGATATTTGAAAATGTTTTCATAGGAAACCAAAAAATGTTATATGACATTATATGACAAAATTAGCATTTTCATCAGTTGGGGTGCGTTTGTAAATCACTTGGTAATGTAATTTTTACTATGGATTACTGCGAAATTTTATTTTTAGAACGCATAAATTATTACAGAGTCATGTAATGACACTTGATGACATCCGACTAAATTTAACGTTTTCTGCGACCATTTTATTTGTTATAAGAGCAGCTATGGATACGAGGGAGCCCTTTTATCCTGAAAAATACATATCTGAGTAATTTTTTATAACCAAATATGGTAAACAAACAATAAATTATGAGAATGACAAGTGACAACATTCTTGTTCCCAAGATTTTGAGCACGGGAAGAAAAGCGCACTTTGACGATCCAGAAGAGATTAGTTTGTTCTATCCAAACGCATGTAACAACAATTCCGAACGCTAAAATTATTATAGTACATAGTACACTGTATAACAATTTACGAACACAGCCCTGATGTTTTGAGTAAAACTTGGTATAAATAAGAGATAATTTTTGGATCAGATTTAAATATGGTTGTCGAAAAATGCGGTGTCAAATCTGATATAAAAGACGGGGGGTCGTTAAATACTTTCCGTGAGTAGCATTAAACTGATATTAACCCAGGAACAAATTCTTATACAGACCACATATTTGCAGTGGTTCAAAATTTTCTCAGGCATCGGCACCTAACCAGACTCAGTCTTATTTGTCTTAGAGATAGAAATGGTCGATTGGATAAGAAACCACTTTGAAAGTCAATGCTGTACACTCTATATAATTTGAGAGGCTGAATTCGAGTATGACCATCCAAAAATTCTGAAATATAGGGGTCTCCTGTCAGTCCCAGAGTCAAATCGACACAGATTCTGAATCCACGTGCCCGATTTAACCAGAAAATGACGTTCATCCTGGTCACATAGCTACTGAGAAAATTTTAAAACATTGCTCAACTGTTTGTATTCTGATATCAGACAATTATGAAAATACTTTTTTCACCAGCCATGGAGTAAAGAGACTGCACACCAGGGTACAACGTAGAGTGCTGAAATGCGCCAATGTAGAAAGGAAAGGGTTAGGTATAACAAAAGTAAGTCCATTACACCAATATTATTTGTACATGTAATGCTATCATCATGAATAGTGTTTCTGCTCTAATGAACTCTATTATTCTAATTGTAGTTTAACATTTGGATTGGTATTGCAGCAGGTAACAGGCTAAATATTACTGTGGTTGAATTTCAGTTATTCTGTTATTTAGGGATGAATGCATATCCGTTCCTAAACTTGAGGCCGCCTTAGTATACTTGGAGGTTTAGATACCTGTGAGTGACATGCGAGTTGTTCAAGGAAGAAAACAGTCTTACCCATAGGGGACCATTTTCATTCTTATGTTTATAGAAAATATAATCCGCATTTTAAAAGCTCCTTTTCATATCTAGAATCTAATTTATACAACAGGGTTCCTCCCACCCATCAAGTCTCTCAGGGCGTCCAAATCTGGAATCAATGATATTTATGATTCTAGCCACTGATTTTATTTGATTTTGAATGACTGTGACTTTGTAAGACTTTTATGTTTTATCTGTGTATGTTTTCTATGTGTTTAAACTATTTTCACTTCATCTTATTTTATCCCATGCTAGGTAAGCACTTTCTTTTTTTATTGGTAATACTGTAATTAAATATGTACTATTTTTGAACACTGTATACATACAGCTCTGTTTGGCATTGAAGCCAGCATTTGCTGATTGTCCGCCAGGTGAAAATAAAGGCTTATTATTATTGATATTATTATAGTTGATTACCAAAGGTGATAGAAAGTTCTGGTAATCACAGATACTGTATACGTAAACTTCAACGCTATTTTGACATTCAAGGAACAAAACAACGTCTTTCACAATTGACAACTCCCCTTCCCAAGTGAGAAGGCAAATAGGGTGTTGTCACAATATAAGGAGGCCCGAAAGGGCAGCTATATGCATTCAATCCTTTAATAGGTTTTTCATTGAAGATCATTTATTTTTTAATACTGCATACGTCTCTTAAGTAATACAAATCTATTTTCAGTTTGAATAACTCACTTTCCTTCTCCCGACACGAAATTCTGCTTTTTCAAACTGTAAAAACTAGGAATATTTTTGTTGTTCAATCCTTCTGTTGCATACGAGTGTTTATTTTGATTTCTCACGCAAAAGTAATATAAATCCAATAACTTGTGATGACACAAACATATTCTATTTGCAGATAGCACTGTCTGTGAAAAAAGCGACAGAAGACTACGCGCCAATGACAGAGGGCAAAGAAGCACATTGGGAAGTCGTAGAAAGAGTTTTGTTTTTGTACGCCAAATTGAATCCAGGTCAAGGATATGTGCAAGGCATGAACGAGATCGTGGGGCCCATTTATTATGCCTTTTCATCCGACCCTGATATTACTTTTAGAGGTAACATTTATACAGGCTGGTTCAAGAAACATACTATCCAAAGCAGTTCATTTGTTTTTTCTCGCTACTATACTACACGTCCGTTCATCATCATCAGTCTGGACGGTCCTGTACCACGCGAAGTCATCTTTACAATTTTAAGAAGGTACCGTGAAAACAAGTCAAGTTCATGGACAAGCGGGCCATAAAGCTATCTGTTGTTTTGGGTATACCAGACACGTCACTCACTCATTGTCCCGAAAACGCCTAACGCCCTCTAACGCGAAAACCCACCTAGAACTGTCGACCGGTTTTGCATTCTTCGACTACTAATGTATCTGTAGTTTACATATATGTGGTTTCATGTGCCCAGAAAATTTTGCAGTTTAATCAGCATGAAAACCACAGGATAAGTTTTAGGTGTTAAGACGGTTTTCCACTAAATGGACAGTTGAGTTTAAGTTCTGTTTGTAGTTTCTAGAACATGAAAACCAAAACTGAAACATAACCCAAAACTCTTGTTCCCATCAAGTGGGCTACATTTTGTTCCAGTTTTTTTTTTGCTTTCAGTTCTTTTCCACTGGTTATCGCGAGTTTCCACTAAACAGACTCAAGTTTCAAAACACGTCGAAATCTTTCGATCACCCCTTGCTGAGCAATCACGTGAATATGTTTTACTCTATCTTGGATTTCGACCCGACCCGTATTATATAAAATAATCGCTATGATCGCCATACTTGTCACTTGTGTACTAGCTTGCTGTGAACGCCACCTATGGAAGAATGGCACAATGGCCTTTAGTATATAACTTACAGCTCAGGCCATAGAAGCTATGAATTGTGTCTGCAGATGTTATATTCCTAAGTGATAATTATGGCGATCAGATCATTATGACTATAATTTTGTAGTAATAAGAACGCAGGATTAGGGAAGACATTTTTTAATCACCCCTGTATTTTCAGAGCACGCTGAAGCAGACTGCTTCTTCTGCTTCACGAATTTGATGTCAGAAATCCGCGACTTCTTCATTAAGAGCCTCGACGAGTCTGACCAAGGGATCAACCGCATGATGACCCGGATGTTGGTCCAATTGAAGAACTGTGATTTGGACGTGTGGCTGCGTTTTCAGCAGTTGGATCTCAAGCCCCAGTTTTATAGTTTCAGGTGGATTACGTTGCTCCTTTCCCAAGAATTTCCATTGCCCGACGTTCTAAGAATATGGGATTCTTTGTTTTCTGACGAGCGTCGATTCGACTTTCTTTTACACGTCTGCTGTGCTATGATAGTGTGAGTATTTTTCTTTAGACTAGCGTGACAGACGAAGATAAAATTTCTCGCAAATCGTCGGGATTTAAAACGAAGCTTAACAGCAACGAAATCAAAGCGAGACAGTGGATCATCTTCAAATTTTGAAGTGACGATTTGATACTCCTCAAGATTCATATGATCGGTCTTTTGAACAACTCTATAAATTTGTTTTTGAGGAAAATGAAATAATACGGGAAAGTATCATGTTTTTCAAAATAACGCAAGTAGATTATCTCAATGACAATACGGTAGATTTCGTTCAAAATTCACAAAAAATGTGCCAATACAACACCTAGAACATATAAAAATTTCAGATATTTCTGTAAATTGGAATAATGCTTTAATATCCATCCAGTATCAAATAATATGGGAAAGTGGTTGGTTCTTGAGAAGTTACTTAGTTTATTTTTGTTTCAGTATTCTTAGAAACCAGTTATTAGAAGGAGACTTCCCGTCCAACTTGAAACTGTTGCAAAACTTTCCGCCAATGGATGTGCAGGTGATTCTATCCAAAGCTGTAGAATTATCACAGCAGAAGATATTTTAGGATGATATTTGAATTTGTTATATATGCGAATTAAACTTGTCAATGAACTATTAGCGATGTAAAATTCATTCAAAATGGTCTGATGTGTTATTCTAAGACTAAAAAATCAAATAAACTCTATTTTTTTAAATATGTGTTTTTAGGTAATTATTGTTAAACTTTTGTAATACTCATTATCTTGTATCATTTTTTATTAGTTAGAATAAATCTTTATACATAAAAAACGTGTTTTATTTCACCAATATCTCATCTGATTTTTCCTCATTCCTAAAAAGATATGAACAAAATCTGTGGCACTTCAGTATTAAAAAGGAAAATGTTCAATCAGTAAAATACAAAGTAAAGAATCTTCACGAGAGCCTTTACGAGTCAGTGAGAATTTCAAAAAGCAGTGACCATGAACAATTAAAAAAATGATTCTATGGACTGATGAGTTATGTTATTGTGAATATTACACTATGCAATGTAAGAATTATCAAATGAATACAGACTGTGGGTTTCTCCACTCCATTGGTTTCACAGAAAAATAATCGATTGCAATAAATTTTCTCCATAGGGTAAGAACATATTTTGTAACACTCATCGGAAAAAATCTTTGGCAAACGTTTGTGCAACCAACAGTGGAAATACTAGAGTCGCATCTGCATATATTTTAACAGGTGTAGCATCCTTTTTTATCTTTCCCCATGACTTGGCTTCATCAGGCCTTGCACCAGCATCACTGCCATCAAATTCTGAAGCAGTATTCACATAAACTACATAGTCAGCACCATTCCTCTAAAAATATGAAATTTTCAGTAAGCCAAGACACAGCATATCCAATACATCAGCAGAACACCCTGAAAATTTTTTTGATGTTTTTTAATGACCTTGAGAGCTTGTTAAATGCTGCAAGATGCTGCCATGCATAGACATATTGTGTGGCTGATGATGCATAGTTGTCAGAGAGGTACACATTTTAAAAAGTTTGTTCTGTTGTGGGAACCCCACATATTGTCGAAAGATGTGCTGCTGAATATTATATGTATATGCTTTAGACAAAATACAAAACAGGTAATAAAGAATAGTTTACCATCAAGTTGGCATTGCAAATATGATGCTTCACCAACCCTCCTCCCAGTATTATCATCCCTGTATTAACAGATTTCATTGCCATAAGATTCAGCCTTCTTAGGTCTAAAAATGAATGAATGAAACCTGATATACAAAAACAAGTGTAAGATGTTACCTGATACAATATCTACAATAAGTCCAGGATTTTTAAAAGTATGAAGAAACATCATATCACCCAAGCTTCCATCAGTGAGGCCTGGGCAAAATACTGGTATTTTATTTTTAGCAGCCCAGTAGTATATACTATCTTCATGATTGATTTCTTTGCCAAGCCTCTCTATTATTTTACTAGGGCTCCACATTACACCATCTTTTTGCTCTTTCAATAATTCATCCAAAATTGGCATGGTCCAGTTTTCAAAACTGTAAATTTAACAAATATAGAACTGGGCCATAAAGTATTGAGGATTTAACATTGTCACAGGCTGGAGGGTATTAGTAAACACAATTTTATATTGAGGGATATTACCTACAGTAATTATCATTAGGAACTAATAGATTTCCAATTCTGTTGATACCACAGTCTCTCAATTTTGTTCCTTCTAAATGAAAATCTCCCATAAATGTGGGTGCTAAACATTTGATAAAATCCTCCTCTATACCACCTGCTGTAGTTACAATACAATCAACCATTTTGTTCTTTACTAAAAATTTGAATGTTTCTCGTAGACCACTGGACACCAAATTTGATGTGTATCCTAAAATATATTTTACAAGTAAACTGTAAAGTCAGATACACTGGCCCTTGATACATCTGATCCAGTGATCTTTTAAATGAACATACCTAAGAATATTGTACAGTTGTTTTTAACAGCAGTATATTCATCATCATTATCAATGAACTTGTCCACTGCAATAGGTTGCTTCCTACAATGTATCATTTTGTTGATCTCCTGCACAGCTAAACCAAAGTTGGTAGCTTGAAACCCAGTATGTAAATAACTTTCCAGAAGTTTGTTATGATCCAGACCTCGATCCCAATCATAACCTGTAACTTTTTCCTTCAATAACGCGATGTTTGAGGTTTTCTTTAGAACCGCCTCGCTTAAAGCGGGGTCTATTCCGTGAGCCATTGTTTGGGGATAATTATGCAGGGCCCCCGTAACGTCACAACTGACAACAATAATATAACCTCAAAATCACATATCACATCACATGTGAAAATGACAGTTGTCTATTCGATTAGTAGAGATTACTGGTAGATGAGTAGATGAATGTAGATAATGAACATAGAGCTACCATAATCACAGAAACAGAGTGCTTAGAGAAGTTTCACCAGCGTTTGGGAGGACAAGTATTATTACCCGTTATAAAATCTATTTAGACGTGACAAAATCCTGTAATTTTGGGGAATATATAATAATTTTGAAAAAGCATAGTGTTATGTTTACTCTTCAATTTTGTTTCTTTTAACGAACCAAAGTGTTTGCTCATATTTAAATCTTCAGCCAAAATTTGTTTAAAGGGCAAATAATGTTAGAAAGCTTCAAAGCATACAAAAATAAACTTCGGACGATCTGAAAGTTATTTAAACTTTTACTCAAAAAACAGCTGCCAATTCAACGATTTGCAAAATTAAGTAGCATTACCTAGAAAGTTATCTCTTGCCGATGATCCACCCATCTGATTGAGAAAACTTGCGGGCGCTCATGATCAATACTTGACAATTCATATTATTCAATGCAAGCGTTTGTTGCTCCCTACTGACATTTGTCGGAAATTTTCTGAAAAGAGGGCTGCGATTAAGCAAGCAAAAAGGTCTTGTCATCCTGATGACATTGGTAGAGCGACGAATCTCGTCCATGAAGTGAGAAATGCACTCCATGAATTCCTCAATGAGCAGTGGAGCGGCTTTCTGGCGGGGATGCTTGAATCAAGTATTCCTCTCTGGAAAGTGGCAAAAAGCTCAGAAACGGAAGGCAAGAACAGCTACCACATATTCATGGTCCTGGAGGCATAGTTTTCAGGACTGAGGATAAAGTGGAGGTTTTTGCTGACATCATGGAAAGGCAGTTCTCTCCCAATTATGATCTGGACAATGACCTTGACGAGGAACGACAAATTGTAAGATCTGTCAGGAGATACTTCAGTGCGAATGACGATACCACCATCGGTGCTAACATCGGTGACTCTTTTTCAGGAGATTCTTCTACGGAAGACTCTTTGAGAAGAATCTCAGCATAGCACATCAACGGAATCTTCTGAGATTCCATTTTGCACACCAGCAGAGCTCCAAGCCCACATTGAGGACCTAAAGGTGCGTAAAGCACCTGGAGAGGATCTGGTGGCAATAATTAACGCAATGCTCAGAACTCATTACTTTCCTAAGTCGTGGAAGGTCGCTGAAGTCATCATGATCCCAAAGCAGGCAGGTTCGACATTCCCCCAGGATTGCCGTCCCATTAGTCTGCTGTCAGCTCCTTCTAAGCTCGCTGAAAAGTTGATTTATCGTCACCTTGAGAATTTCTCATCAGATCACCATGTGATTCCTGACGTGCAATTCGGTTTTCGGTCTGAGCATAGTACGGAGCTACAGGCAGTTAGACTGGTGGAGCATGTAACCAGGGGGTTCACCCTGAACAAAAGTACTGGTATCTTGCTTTTAGATGTATCAAAGGCATTTGACAAGGTGTGGTACATGGGCCTCTTGTATAAGCTCATTCAAAAGGGTTTTCCATTTTGGCTATTGAAACTGTTGAAATCTTTTCTAGAAGGAAGGAAGTTTCGGATCAAAATTAACAATGTGTTGTCAACAACACGGCCCGTAAGAGCCGGTGTTCCTCAGGGTTCGGTCTTAGGACCAATATTTTATTCACTTTATATACATCACGTCCCTTGCCTCAGCAACTGTGAAGTCTATCTTTATGCTGACAACACTGCATTGCTAGCCCAGTCTTGTTCTGGTAACCTGGTTCACGACAGGCTGCAGAGTGCGGTGGAGGAAGTATTGGAGTGGGCGGATCGGTGGTTGATCAAAATTGATACTTCGAAAACGCAGGAAATCTCTTGTACTAAAAAATGTTGCGGTGCCCCCTTAGAGATATCAGTGAATGGAACTCGTATACCATGGGAGCAATCTGTCAGGTATTTTGGAGTCATCATTGACAAGGAGTTGACCTGGCAGAAACATACTGATATTTTGAAAACAAAATTCCAAATTACTTTTCGGCGGCTTTATCCTTTGTTGTGCAGAAATTCAAAATTAAGTTTGATCAACAAGATTCGGTTGTATAAAATGGTCATAAGACCTGCAATCACCTACGCATCCTCGGCTTGATGTTTTCTTGCCAAGACGCACATGCAGAGATTGCAAGTCCTGCAAAACAGAACTCTACGCACAATTACTAACGCCCATTGGTACGTGTCAAATGAAACCATTCACAGAGATTTTGATATTCCATATCTAAAGGATTATGTAAAACAACAGGCGCAGCGGCGTTATAATCAAGCGGAATCGCACAGCAACCCTCTGTTGCGTGATTCAGTGGACTACACAGTCGAGCAAGTTCGCAAACATTCCAGGCCACGCCTTGCACTGTGAACAAAATTAAATTGTAAATTATTTTTTGGAGTTACAAAATAATTCGAGTGCTCAAAGCAATAATACTTAAGCTATTTCAAATGCTTTACTTCTTTCCTTTGCTCTATTTCTTCCTTCCTTTATTTCCTTCTTTCTCTTTTCCCCTTAAACATGTTTGGTATCTGGATAGTCAGACCTGACAGACTAACAGACCGACGAGACTTTTAACCAAGAGCAAAGGTCCATCGGACCGCTCTGACGAATAACGACGAATAGTAGCGTTTGTTACTTTTGTAAAGATGTACAGGGTGTCCTAGAAGTCGACATCAAGCCGGAAATGGCGGATGGGCCAAGTCATGATAGTTATCAGAAAAATATAAAAAAATCGTGAACTTTTCAAATTATAGGCTTGAAAAAATCCCTGCTGATCATTTTTAAGATGTTCAAGCTGTTGGAGGAAGGTAGTTTGAACATTTATTGTGAATTTAATAAATACATTCACGAATTAATAAAAGTGGCGTTACTGTCTTGCTGTCACTACGTAGAATCAGACTGCCCATCACTCCGTCTGAAAAAAAAATGAAATTTGTAGTAATGGGAACTGAAAGATCATCACAGCGTGTAGATTTTTTCGATTTTTTTAAGGCCTTTAATTTAAAAAATACACGACTTAGATTTTTTTTACATTTTTCTGATAACTATTATGACTTAACGTGGACATCTGGGACACCCTGTATGCTTCAAATTTACCCTCTACAGTTGAGTGGGGACCCCCTGCAAATTTTGATATGGGCAAAAAAGACTACTCCATACACATATCGACTCGGCTCATCATGAAAACCCCCGTACACTTCACACGTTGTTACGGCGAACTCCCTTTTGGCGCAAGTCCAAGAGGAGTTCCCGCCGCCGTGAAAGTTTTCCTGTTGGGCAAGTTGCGTACAGTTTGCCGCCAACCGTGTCCTCGGACATCACTCCGAGAACCTGCGGACGTCCCTTGAAGACCTTATCGAGATGCCACCCACTGGCGGTGCTGTGTGAAATAAAGGTAAGTTGTTCAACATTTGTAGACAACGTAAATGTTTTCAAAAATTTTATTTCGGACTTCCATTGTCTATACAATTTTTGGAAATCGCATCGATTCTTCAGTTCACCTGCAGATGATTGAAGATAAGTCGTCAAATCGATCTCAAAAATTCTATAGACAATGGAAGTTCGAAATAAAACTTTTGAATGTAAGATTAACTGCAAATTATTTTTATAAATGGAATAATTGAATCGAAAAACCTCATAAGTCACACAATTTAAATTTTTCAGGAGGCATTGAAAACGGTGTCACTGACAAATAAACAAATTTTAGGAAACTTTTTAGAGCTTAATATATGGGGTTGTCCAAAATGGACGCAGGAAAGTAAACGCATATTAAAACAAGAAAGATTGATATTCAAATCAAGTTGGGTACTTTATTTTGAAGGTTCATTTATGCCATTTATGTATGAAAAATAATATCGCTCAAATGTTCACCACGACTGGATTTACAGACGTCCACGCGATGGTCGAAATTTTCAATGACATTTTGCAACATGGTCGGTTCTATGGCATTTTTCTCGGCAATGATGTTGTTTTTGAATTCTTGGAGGGTGGCTGGTTTGTTGACGTAGACTTTGCTTTTCAAATATCCCCATAAAAAGAAGTCCAAGGGAGTCAAATCGCACGATCTTGGTGGCCATGGCACATTTCCTCTGCGCGAAATCACGCGATCACCGAAGAAGGACTGCAATCGATGGATATTGACATTGGTTGTGTGGCATGTTGCACCGTCTTGTTGGAAATAAACATCGTCCATATCCATTCCTTCAAGTTGCGGCAAAAAATAGTCCTCTATCATCACGTGATATCGCTCAGAATTGACGGTAACGGCGTCCCCGGCCGCATTTTCGAAAAAGTAAGGTCCGATGATGCCTTTTGACCACAATGTCACACAGTCACTTTTTGAGGATGCATCGGCTGCTCTTGATACTCACGGGGATTTTCGTTCGCCCAAATGCGGCAGTTTTGCTTGTTTACCGTCCCATTCAAAGTGAAATGCGCTTCGTCGCTGAACATGATTTTTGATGAAAAATTGGCATCAATTTGGCGGTGTTCAAGGAGCCAATCTGAGAACGTTCGGCGCGAAAAATGGTCGGCCAGACGCAGCTCTTGCGTCAATTGGATCTTGTAGGCGTGTACATTCAAATCCTTGTGGAGAATGCGGAGCAAACTGATTCTCGAAATGCCCAATTCTTCTCACACTCTCCTTCACAACAGCAATATTTTCCGGTGTGCGAACGCTCCTTGGCCGGCCAGAGCCTGGCAGATTTGCCACAGAACCTGTTGCCTCGAATTTACGCACCAGACGACCGATGGTTGTTTCGTTTGGGCGGTTGTTGCGACCGAAATGTTCACGAAGCGCGCGAAACGTGTTTTTTATTTTTGCACCATTTTTGTAGTGCTCTTGAATAACTTTAATGCGGCCTTCAATCGAATACGACTCCATAGCGATCAATGGTAAACATTCAACTAACAAAATTACATGTCGGTGACAGAAAACAAAGATGGCGTCTATGTCAAATTGACGTTTACTTTCCTGCGTCCCTATTGGACAACCCGTAATCCGAGATTTAAGCTATTGAAATATCGAATAACCTTCGCGTTTATTATTGATAATAATGGAAAAAGCCCGAAAAAGTGTTATTACCTCATGTTGTTTTAGCAGGAAGAAATATTATTGGAACAAAACCCAAGAAAATGAATCAAATGGATCATATTTTTACTTCCCACGCCTACTGTTGGAGAAGTAGGTATTGTAATCGCGAAAATTTTCGTAAATGAGATATGTTTTTTGGGCGTACATGTACAACACGAAAAATAATGTCATTTATTTCCGTCGGTCGGTCTGTCAGTCTGTCCGGACTGTCCGCTAATCCTTCGCCAGTCAATAACTTGGAAACCAGATCTCGGATTTTGATGAAATTTTCTCACGAGGTAACTACTACGTCAGGGACGAAACAGCTTTATAGTTTTTGAAAATCAGTCCATTAACGGCGGAGAAAAAGGCAAAAAATGAAAAAATATAGTCGCCAAAACTTTTTGACGTTTCAGAGGATTCTGATCATTGCTACTATTCGTCATTATTCGTCAGAGCTGTCCGGTGGACCTTTGCTCTTAGTTAAAAGTCTCGTCGGTCTGTTAGTCTGTCAGGTCTGGCTAACTAGATACCAAACATGTTTAAAGGAAAAGGGAAAGAAGGAAAGAAAGGAAGGAAGAAATAGAGCAAAGAAAAGAAGTAAATCATTTGAAATAGCTTGCTTTGACTACTCGAATTATTTTATAACTCCAAAAAATAATTTTGATCGGTTTTGTATACTGAAATAATTTTGGCTGGTCTGAATTTACAATTTAATTTTGATCACAGTGCGAGGCGCGGCCTGGAATGCTTGCGAACTTGCTCGACTGTGTAGTCTACTGAATCACGCAACAGAGGGTTGCTGTGCGATTCCGCTTGATTATAACGCCGCTGCGCCTGTTATTTTACATAATCCCTTAGATATGGAATATCAAGATCTCTGTGAGTTTGACACGTACCAAGGGGGCGTTAGTAATTGTGCGTAGGGTTCTGTTTTGCAGGACTTGCAGTCTCTGCATGTGCGTATTGGCAAGAAAACACGAAGCCGAGCATGCGTAGGTGATTGCAGGTCTTATGACCACTTTATACAACCGAATCTTGTTGATCAAACTTAATTTTGAATTTCTGCACAACAAAGGATAAAGCTGCCGAAAGGTAATTTGGAATTTTGTTTTCAAAATGTCAGTATATTTCTGCCAGGTCAACCCCTTGTCAATGATAACTCCAAGATACCTGACAGATTGCTCTCATGGTATACGAGTTCCATTCACTGATATCTCTAAGGGGGCACCGCAACGTTTTTTAGTACAATAGATTTCCTGCGTTTTCGAAGTATTAATTTTGATCAACCACCGATCCGCCCACTCCAATACATACTTCCTTCACCGCGCTCTGCAGCCTGTCGTGAACCAGGTTACCAGAACAAGACTGGGCTAGCAATGCAGTGCCGTCAGCATAGAGATAGACTTCATAGTTGCTGGGGCAAGGGACGTCATGTATATAAAGTGAATAAAGGATTGGTCCTAAGACCGAACCCTGAGGAACACCGGCTCTTAAGGGCCGTGTTGGTGACAGCACATTGTTAATTTTGATCCGAAACTTCCTTCCTTCTAGAAAAGATTTCAACAGTTTTAGTAGCCTAAATGGAAAACTCTTTTGGATGAGCTTATACAAGAGGCCCATGTGCCACACCTTGTCAAATGCCTTTGATACACGTAAAAGAAAAAGACTAGTACTTTTGTTCAGGGTTACATGTTGGTGATTTGATCCTCTCCAGGTGCTTTACGCACCTTTATGTCTTTAATGGGGCCTTGGAGCTCTGCTGATGTGCAAAACGGAATCTCAGAGGATTCCGTTGATGTGCTATGCCGAGATTCATCTGAAGAGTCTTCTGTAGAAGAATCTTCTGAAAAGGAGTCACCGATGTTAGCACCGATGTTGGTATCGCCATTCGCTCTGAAGTATCTCGTGACAGATCAAACAATTTGTCGTTCCTCGTCAAGGTCATTGTCCAGATCATAATTGGAGGAGAACTGCCTTTCCGTGACGTCAGCAAAAACCTCCACTTTATCCTCAGTCCTGAAAACTATGCCTCAAGGACCATGAATATGTGGTAGTTGTTCTTGCCTTCCGTTTCTGAGCGATTTTGCCACTTTCCAGAGAGGAATACTTGATTCAAGCATCCCCGCCAGAAAGTCGCTCCATTGCTCATTGCGGAATTCATGGAGTGCATTTCTCACTTCATGGACGAGATTCGTCGCTCTACGAATGTCATCAGGATGAATTCTGATCATTATCAGAAACAAAAATAGTAGGGGTTGACTATCGGATGTTATATGCCACTGCTTTGCTGCTAGCAATTTCTACGTTTCCAAACACACAACCAATTCAACCAACGGCAATTCTACGCATATATTAGACATATTTCATACATCAAAGACTTCCCCTCGAAACTGGAATGACAGAAATATATTTTCAATATACTCGTATCGGACAACGCAAGGAGCGTACTTCTGTCTGCTTCAATGTAGAGGGATAACTAACCCTCTGAGCACTGATGTGTGTATTCACTGTTGGTATGACAGGCTAGATCGCAATCTCAAATCTGTGGGAAATATGGACCATTCGTATGAGACTATTTGACTGACATGATCCAATTTATTTCTTTATTATACATGTTCCAGCCAACTTTTTTATCAGAGGGACTAACTTGTACCGAATATAATCATCCCAGCGTTGTGAAAAAAATATACAGTCAACCTACTTGACGCCATTGCTTTATCTCGTACCGTGTGAGAAATCAATAATCAATGCAATAGATTGAGAATATTTTTGTACCCACAGAAGGAGAATAAACTAGGTACGTCCTTTATCGTTCAAAAATAAAGACTTTAAATAATGGTGAATGTGCACCAAATAATAACGGTCTATTATTTTATTCTTCCGTAAATATATTACACTACATTAGTGCTTGAATAGATTGTTTGCTATTTTTATTCTTAAAAACGTAAAATTAGATACTTCTTTTAGCTGGTACTGTTTGAAAAATGAAGAATTAAAAAAATGGTGAAAGGTCGTCTGAAATGTCGGTACATTATTTTAGTCATTAGTAAACATAATGGTCCATCAATGCTTGAACAGATCAGGGTTTTTTCGTCACACTCAGAGAAAATGAGAGGCAACTCCATTTATCTGGTACTGTCCGAAAAATGACTTATTTATTTATTTATTGGTTATTGCATCAATATCGATGCAAAATATGGCTAATTTGCGCTTCACTAATCCTTCTACTTCTTTAGTTCTTTTACAAAATACTGTCTTCATGTACTGGTAGCTTTCATGCTCCATAAAATTATTTTATCTATACCCGCAATACAGTAATC